GCTACAAATGGCGGTTAGTAAGTGGTGTAGGCAGGCTTTGACTAGACTCTTAATGCAAAAGAAAATGATACTTACAAATCGCTCGTCTAATATGCAGCAGTTTTCTCTGGTAGCAATGTACTGAAGAGAAGAAACAAGACCACTTTCAGTGAGTTTCCTCTAGAAGCATTCTAAGCATTGACACTAACACTCTGCACCAACACTTACCGCCATGCTGGTAGAGAAGAGCAGGGAGAGGAGATGCCCCAGAGGCACCCATCTGCCCAGCTTCGGCCCCATCTCACTGGGTGCCATCTGTAGTGTCAGCAGCTGAAAGTGTTCTCCCCAGCAGCCGAGGCAGCACCTTTATGGGCTGCCAGATTTGGCCCCAGAGCAGGGCAGCAGAGGTTTAAGGGAGCAGCTGGAGATGAGGGCGGGCACAGTGAGGTAACGGGAAGAGGTGGAGTAGGGGATGAGGTGGATTCCCAGAATTTGCACGCATCTCTTACTCCTCCCATTTGCAGAACTTGCTTTCCACCTATCTGCTTTATCTTTGTTCCAACAGGGTCTTAAAGGAGGCAGAAAGGTGAAACAAGGTGTGCAGAAGCTGTAACACAAGCATAAGCAAATGCACACGTGGCTCTTGGGTGGGGGCAGGCAGAGTAGTTACTTAACTTGCATAGGGAAAAGCAGAGGTAACTACCTAATTACATGCAAACATATATCCATAGCCTAAAGTTAAATATTAAGAGTACTTCATGGTTTTATAGTACCTTCCTTCCATAAGGCAGAACATACTTTTCAAAGGCATTCAATATCATTCTTCCTATTTGGCAGATGACAAAACTCAGGCAGAGGGAGTTATAAGGCCAAGTCAGGCAGTGGAATATCTGGAGAAGCTGCCCGTGGTCTCCCCCACAGGCAGGGAATCTTCTCTGCCATCTAATTTAGGAAGTCTGTGTGAATGACTTGGATAAAGCTGCCCTGCTGGGAGCTAGACTTTTCATCCCTGGACCAAACAGCTTTCCTTTCCAATCACCACATATTGGGAAAGAACGTTTGCAGACAAAAATGCTGTCTCCAGGGACGGTGACTGGCTCTGAGTCTGTGCTTGTACTCTGCCAGAAACTGGGTCAGGTTAAATCACATATGTCCCCTCCAGGGCAGATGGGTACATAGTGTTTGGGACAGAACATGTGGTATCCAACTCAGGTATCCCTTGTTCTTACACAGAGTAAAGAGCACACTGCTCTCCTTTGTCACTGAAAATAGTCCACGTAGATCTGAAACTCTTTCAAGGGAATACTTCATAATGGAACATGGTAAAATTTGTCCAGCATCCCTGGATAAGAATTTCAGGATTCAGAAAAGATGACAACAGTCAAGTCTGACAGAGAACTATATTAGTTAATTTTGAGAAGAAGTTCCTAACATTTTGGGATCAAAACGTGACAATGGCTGCGATGAAATAATTTCAATGTATAATGCAATAATTTTTGCTAATGTTTCCAATATCTTATATAACAACAATAAAGCTTAATTGCTGTAGATAGTTGGCTAATTGGGTCTGAAAAAAAGGAGGATCATTATGAATTTTCAGTGTGGTTCTTGTCTTACATAAAATTATCACCAAATGGATCTACATTAATGAAGGAATCAACCTAAACAAACACTTAATGATTACCAAATATCTTTACGCTGCTCTCACAAGAGCTGTCCAGTTGTATTTTTGGTTGTAACCAGTTGTACTTCTTAGCAGAAGATGTAAATATTTAAACCTCACAACATCTTTGTTTGCTTTACTGATTACACAGTCGTGTTGTAGCCTTGAATAATGAATCCTTTCATATCTTCGCCCCCTTCTCCTTCCTTCCATGAATTCACATTGCACGGTTTTGAAATGACTTTTTCCCACTTTTCATTAAATCCAAAACAGTACATGTTCTAATGTGAAACATCAGGGTAGTCTTCTCCTCCCTTTTGTACCATTTTCTCATTTAATTCCGGCTGCATGAAGCTGACCCATTTACAAAACAAAAGTGTTAGAGACCTGATTTCACCCTTCAGTCTGCCCAACATGTGTAAGCTCTGTTGTTCTTCTGTTCAGCTTTTTTTTTGTTTCCGGTAAGCTTGTTTGCTGATTTGCTAACAAATGAGGATTGATTAATGCCACACAGGCAGAATAAAGAGTTCTCAACTTCGATTTAACTTTTCCTCACAGTTTATTTTTTGAGCGGGTGGTAAAATCACATCAGTATTTGCTTAAAAGTGCCTTGTTCAATTCAACTGGTATTTGATCAGTATTTTTGTCAAACAGACACTGGAAGAGTATCCAGAGCCTTCCCATTACTCACAGTAAATCACAGAAGTACAGAACAAATACACATGTATTTGTAAACCAATAATAGCAGACTATTCTTATGACTGCCTTCGGAAAATAAAAGTTTTCCAAATGTATGACTCATACATGACTTAAGAATCTAATGTGAGATTTCAGCTCATGAAATTTCAGAAACACTATGGTGATTTGGTACGTTTCTGTTATTGTTCTAATGGAAACTTGAATGTCAAAATAAATACAAAAAATAAATGATAAAAACCTCGAAAAAGTAAATATCGAAAAAGAAAAAGCCCATTTTGCTTTGCAACCTATCACAAATATGCACTGCTCCACTTCTACTACTAATATGCTCCTCTGCTAGGTCAACTGATGAGCAAGTGATAATCAGGATGAGAAACAGAGATGGTTAAGAAGCTGTCTACAGCTGATGTTATGCTTGTGGTATGTTAAGAAATACCCTGCTTTACAAATAGCAAAGTGAAAATGAAGAAAAGGAGAAGGTTCAGTAAGTCATCTTTCTCTTTCGATATCTGAGTCTTAGGCAAAAGGCAAATGGCCACATTTCTCGCTGATTCAACAGTCCACTCTGTGCATCAGGTACTCTTTCAACCTTCCTGAAGAGAAATGCCTAGAGGTTTGGGTCCGTAAATATCAGCTGCCAGTTGCTCCGCATGGGAGAAGCTCTTATTTCTTTTCACTTATGAAGTCAGCACAGACATGGGCTATGCTTCTGCTGAAATGAGGCTGAAAGGCTGAAAAGAGTTCTGTTCCCTGCAAGCTGAGCAAGGAAAAATATAAAATCCACATCATTCACGGTATGGTTTCACTTGGAGTACTTTGGAAAGAGTGCAGAAGATATTTTGCTGCATGCACACCATGGATACAGGAACGATGCTTGTGTTTTCTTGCTTTCAGGTTTTTCCAAGTTCCAGAGCACAGGATGTTTTATTTCAACAGACTAAAAATCCAGCAAACATCCTGAAAGCCCCTAAACCATGAGCTGGGATCAGTTAAAAATCACTATTGGGCCCTGAGCAGCTTGTACCTTAAATAAGGGTTATTAGGTGCAACACTGCAAATTCTGTCCCTTTACTCATTTACAAAGACCGTTTTCAGCTGCTGATACCTTAGGAAAGGTTGGCTTTTAGACTATCTGCAAAAGAGAGATTGCAATGTATGCTTTACCTTGAAGGGAAGAGCAGTGAACTCCATTTGTTAAACAAAAGCATCCACTAATTTGTGGGAATAAGATAAGTAATAAATTCAAATATTTGCGGAATATTTTGTAATTTGTTTAGAGGACAGAACCTCAATAAATTAAATAGAACTTCCTTTATAAACCGAAAAATTTGTTGGTATCTGCCGATAGCTTTGTTTTGGAGAGGAACTTATTTGCAGTGGCATTAACAGACACATAGCAAAAAGGTAATAGGTTTCACAATAAAAATGTAGCCTGTGAAATGCACTGCTTGTACTTTCTTGCAGGCAGCAGAAACTTGACTGCCAGAGAAATCCTACAAAAAGCTTATTTGCTTAGGAATGATGTAGTCTGCATTGCCTACCCTGACATCTTGCTGGTAATTCAGGATGACGGTGGGAGAAGGATTAAGCTCACATTTCCTTTACACATCAGCTGTGCCTCATGCTGATGCACAAATCTGTTTACAGAGAAGGAAGCACAGGCCTAAATCTGAGCCACTAACAGCACTCACACAGTAGAAGTAGATACAAGCATTTAGTCACCGAATGAAACAATGAATGTTCGAACTACGATCAGGAAAACAGTTATACATTTATTTATTTTTTTAAAATCAGATCTTTTATCTTTCTTCAACACAAAAACTAAAGCCAAGTTATTTTCCTTCTCTCAATTTCTGAGAGCAAAATGTGCCTCACAAGCTGCGCATTAAGCAATGGGGCAAGTGGATGTAGGTCCTTGCCACACCTTAGAACGATGGCATTTATTAGTATTAAGCTTCTTCCCTTATCCAGCAAGAGCTGCTTACTTGCACCTCCGTGCTCGCGTTGCACGCAGACTTGTTGCTGTCAGCTTCACTCCAAGTCACACAGCGCCGCCTGACGTCAAAGAGCAACAATTTCTACAATTGTTTTCTACTATTTGTGAAGCCACGGAGAAGCCAAAACCTCAACATTACGGGACATTGCTTCCCACGTCTGCTACAGAAAGGGTCGTTGGAATGACTTGCGTCAGCTTTCATCAAAATAACCCTAATATCTCGTGCATGAAGCGACGATCTCAGAGTCAATCGTTGCTGCTCCTGATGGAGCCGCTGGCCGGGAACTCTGTGCAAACGTTGTATCAGTGCTCAGCATTATGAAACCCCCAAATATTGCGCTGGAACTGCAAGAAGGGCAGCACGGAACAAAGCAGAGAACACCGTAGGTGCGTCTCCTGTTCATCCGCGCCTTGTGCTTCTTGTCCCCGCACACCAAAATGTTGCCGTTGAAACTGGAGAGGGCCCAGCAACAGGCAGCAAGGACAAGTCGCGGCTGGGACCTGCTTCAGCGGCGGAGCTGCAGAAGGAAAGGGTGCTCCGGAGCTCCTTGTTTCGACTGAAGGAAAATCGTCTTTAACCAAACGGGGACGAACGCGCGAGCTCCTCCGCCGGACTCGCGGACAGACGGCGCCACCTGCTGGCCGTTCGCGGCGGGCCGGGGCTCGAGCCGGATGACGGGCGGTGCCCTCCAGCCCCGCGCCGCCGCCGCCACCATGAGCTTCGCCGCGCTGCTGCGGCTCCGCGGGCCGCGGCTGCTCCGGGCCGTCCTCCACCCGCAGCGCTGGAGCCGGCGGCGCGGCGGCGGCTGCGAGCCTCCAGCGGGCGCCGCTGTGCGCATCGGCTGCGCCTCGGGCTTCTGGGGGGACACGGCGGCCGCGGGTAGGCGGCGGGAGGGGCTGGCGGGCACGGGGAGCCTGGCCGGGCGGGGACGCGGCCCGGCGGGGAGCGGTGCTGACGGAGTTCCTCCCTGCAGTGCCGCAGCTGCTGTACGGCGGGAAGCTGGACTTCCTCGTCTTCGATTACCTCTCCGAGATCACCATGTCGCTGCTGGCGGCTGCCAAAGCCCGCTCTCCCGTGAGTAGCGGCTGTCGGCGTACAGCCGGCTTTGGACTTGGCTCCGGCTCCGCCGTGCCCCTTCCGAGCCCCGTGTTTGCCTTTGCAGGTGCTGGGTTACGCTCCGGATTTCGTCTCCGCTGCCATGGCTCCGTACATAAAAGATATTCACAGGAAAGGTGCGCTCCTCTCCGTGTTCGCACCTTCATGAAGCGCGGTTGCGAAATGAGCTCTGTGTAGGCTGTGTTCCTGTTTGTCGCACCGGTGCTGTGCTGCCCTATGGACGTGAGCTCAAAAGACGCGACAAGAAGTGCGCATCTGGTGGGGGGGGATGTGTAGGGCACGGGTGAAATGCTTGCCTGCGATTGTGAACGTGTATGCATGCCTCTGGGTAATTCTGTTTGTAGCTTTAGTTTGAGAATGGAGAGTTGCCTGAAAATCTCTTGTTAAAATATGTAAATCTCGTGGTTTAACACAGTCTTTGTCAGCATTCCAAAGCAGTTCTAATACTTCGGTTTTTCCTAATGCAGTTGTTTTTGTTTACATGACTACATCTTTACAGCTTACTGAGTTTGGGTGGAAGAGAGAAAGCATTTCCTCTGAGCACCCAATACCATGATAATGTACTCTGGAATTCAGAGAAATAGATGTTTCTGCTTAAGTGACGTTGTTTGGAAAGTATGAGTGCTTTAAAAGGTCGCTGTCCCCTGTTGTACCTGTAGGAACTGGTATGATGCTGTCATTTCCTCATAGTGTTTGTCTCAGTGGTCACTTTCACCTTTCTTACAGGAAGGGAAGAAGATAATTGTAGAATCGTAGAATCACCCAGGATGGAAAATACCTCTGAGGTCATCCAGTCCAACCATCCACCTATCACCAGTATTTCCCACTAAACCGCATCCCGCGTACAGCATCTAAACGTTGCTGAACTCCTCCAGGAGCGGTGGGGTCATCCACATCATAAGGCCTACCTGCAACAATTAACTTTTCTGAAAGCAGTCCCTCACTGGCTTAGTCTGATCTCCTTTTGTTTTACCAACTTAATGGGGCTCAAGACTTAGTATTTCACGTGATTAGATGCCTCATACCTCGCAAAGGTTGTGTCTTGCTTGTCTTTCAGCTTGCTTTGAGTTGTAGAAATGGAAGTGACTGTTAATGCTTCTGTGCTTGTTCTTTTTGCAAAGGTGTTCGTGTCATCAGTAATGCGGGTGGGATCAACCCTCTGGCTTGTGCGGCCGCTCTGCAGGAGGTGGCAGAGAAGGCAGACGTTGATTTGAAAATAGCTGTTATTACTGGAGATGACCTAATGAGTGAGGTATGGCACTTTGCCTTTAGGCTTAGTAGGACCGTGTGAGTTATTCCGTATTGAGAAAAAAATTAGCCCGAATTTATTTTTTGCATCTTTCTGTATTATCTTTATTCATAGCATGAATCAGAGAATGGTTTAAGTTGGAAGGGACCTTTAAGATCGTATAGTTCCAGCCCCTCTGCTATGGGCAGGCACACCTCCCTCTAGACCAGGTTGTTCACAGCCCATCCAGCCTGGCCTCAAATGCTTCTACGGAGGGAGCATTCCCTTTTAAAAGCATTTAAAACAATCGCTCTTGTTTTTTTTAGTGCACAGAGCGTGGTGAAGAAGGTTAAGTTCAACTCCTTATTTGCAAAGTACACCTATGCCTCTCTGGGAACTTAATGTGCTCTGAAATTAACTGCCTGGAGCTGCAGAATTATCCTTGTTTTCTGGCCACGTCACCATTGCTGTTACAGTGAACATTTCTGCTGGCAAGGTTTGACTTGCTCGGTCTTACAGGAATTAAAGATGATTTGAAAGCCTAAGGAGTATATTACGTCATGGTTGTCGATCATCTTTGAAAGGAAAAGCATTCTTTAACAACTGACTTAATCTTTATTTTCCAGCACTAAGAAAAATAAGTGTCTAGAGCTTTTAGTCATTCAGCTGATTTGCATTTGTTATTAATTTTAATGATTATACTTGTTAGAGTTGCTGTGAAATGAATCTGTTGTCTGATGCTAATGGAAGTTTTACAGTAGATGCTACAAAATACTCATAAATTTGGTGGTCTGTCTTCTGACAGAAAGAGAACCTAAGAGGAGCTGGCATCACTGATTTGGAGAGTGGCAAACCATTTCCAGAGAGTGTTCATAGCATGAACGTGTATCTTGGGTGAGTTACTTTAACAAGTTGTTTTTTGAATGGAAAAATAATTTTTAGTATATTGACTCCATGAACCTGTTTTGATTTGCAAATATAACCACCTAGGCACTTAAGGTTCACCTTTGTACGATTTAAGAAACTAGAAAATATTTTCTCCTTTTAAGCTGTAAAAAAATTATTAATTTAGAACCTTGCCAGTTGTGACTTTAGCATTACATCTTCTGAGAATCCTCAGGTTTGATTCAACACCAAGTTGACATAATTACAGTTATTAAGACTGTTTATTCCAAAAGTGGAGCATTCTGTCACTGCATGGTGGAATTGTTAAGGATTGCCATTGCTGGAGTCATGCACAGCCCTTATATTGAAATAATGAATCATTATGACTGGCTGCTGTTCTGGCTTGTACCATTATCTTGTACCATTCTATTGCACTTTGCAGAAATGTGTCCAGGCAAGACAGCAGGGGTTTGGCTGTGCTTAAGACAGCATATATTTGTTCCTCAGAAATGAGAATTTTTTAAGAAATTGCTCTTTACATTTGTATTCAGGGTTTTCTGTTATAGTTGTTGCTAGATTTTCTTTTTAACCTTCTGTTAATCTTTGCCTTGCAAGATTACAGACCATGAGTAATATAAATGAAATCTAATAAACAGTGGTTAATGTTTATAATATTGAGAAGGTGTTAATTCCAGTTCAGGTGATTCATGATTCACAATTTTAGGAAAGGCAACTCATAGCAGAGAGGACAAAAGCAGACTAGTATGAGGAAGATGCAGTTTAAAAATCCATTGTGTATGGCTCTGCTTCACTAATGGAAGCTAAAACAAGCGAGTCTTGATGTTGCTTTATTTTTTTATTTGTTTCAGGGAAACAGTATTTCTTTATGGGCCCCTTCTCTGGGATGCATTGAAATGTAAAGCTATGAACCAGCTTCTTAGATCAGCAGTTTCATCATGTACATTTTTCTTCTATAGCATCTGCATTAGATGCTTAATCATATAAATCTCTCTTTTGGTTTGTATATGTGTATGTAGGTATATATACACAATTCAACTTCATAGTGTACTGGATAAAATCAAGAAGTTCTGTAGATACTTAAAATAACTTTTTAAATTCCATAAACTTAGTTATGTTTACAGTTTGATTCTTGGTTCAGTACATGAACTACATCTGAAAAATTATCACTGTTACAGATTATGAAATATTTCTTCTGTCCTTCCTGATTTATGTTTGGTGGATTGAGTTCATGTGTTTGGTTTTTTTTTTCCAGTAAGATGCAAGCTTACTAATTGACTGCTTTTTAGATGTAGTTACATGGCTTTATTAGTATCCCATAGAAATCCATTTGCATTTCTCACATGACCATTATATGACACTGTGCCCAGTGCATGAGTTGTTGTACACAGTGTATTTTATTGTCTCTCTAATCAGTATCCTTAATTTTTTAATATTAAAATGTCAGTAAATACGTATTTTTGCTTACATCATTAAGAACTTCTGTGCATTACCTTTTTCCTTAAAAAAAAAAAGTAGGAGTAAGTCTATTGAATCTGTCAAAGAAGAGCATTCTTAGTTTTTAAAGACACCCAGATTATGGTTTGTGTTTTTCAGTCCACAAGCAGTGGCAGAATCATTAGATAGCTTTGACCAGAGCACGTGGCTCTGGGGTTCTAAACCCATGCTTTCTCACTGTTTGTCCTTGGAAGCAGTGAAATTGCTTCTAATAAATTATTTGAGATACCAGACAAAGTATCACTGAGGATATCAGTAATCACATATAAGAAGTTGATGACAGTTGGTGATAGGGTTCTGTGTCTACAGAGCACCCTTTGGAAAGCAGCCTTCATCCAGAAGAGGTTTGTGAGGTGGAGGCTAACCCTCAAATGGCCCAAGAGAGGTTGGACCCAGGGTCATGCAGGAAGCATGGGTGAGTTACTTGCACCTGTGCTTCCTGGGCCAGCCACCCCTTTCCCAGTGCTCAGTTCAGGCCATGACATGGCATTACCCTCACATTTACCAACCTCTGCAAGCCCAACTTTTACTCGACCAATCTGGAAAACCTGTTGCTTGAGTTTCTTCAGAAGTAACAACTGCACGACACTTTACTTGAAGTTGGCTGATTCTTTGAGTTCCAGTAATACTTAATTGAGATTGACGTGAAGGGTTTAAGTTTGGAGGACCAAGTCAGCAGCCTGTCTTTGTGAATAATATCAAATTACAGAATAGATTAAGTTGGAAGGGGCCTCTGGAAGTCATCTGGTCAAATTTTAGTGTTGGTGTCCCTGCTGTTGGTCTTTATACACTCACCTACAAATGAAATAGGAGTAGTTATTATTTTCTCTCAAAACACTTTGTATTTCCTATTACTCGTGGTAAAACAAGATACATTGTGTTTCAGGATATTTTGAATGAATGTCAAGACAAGTCTTTCAGTTGTCATGAAATTGATTGGATGTTCGATGCTTGCTTTTAAAAATATTAACAACACTTAGTTGTTGTGTGAACAAAGCTGATTTCATGCAGACTCACTGAGTGATTCTTGTTTTGTTTGTGATGGTGTGTCAAAAAGTAAGAATACATATTGCTTTTTACCTGTAGGGCAAGACCAGTAAGCAGAGCTCTTGACCTTGGGGCTGACGTTGTAATCACTGGTAGATGCGTCGACAGCGGGATTGTATTAGGGCCGCTCATTCACTCTGTAAGTACAAGCTATTTACAAGGTGATGATGAGCAGAAGAGAATGACTGTTTGGGAATCGTTAAGGTTTTTTTGCTACTTCGGAAATTTTAATTGAAAAATGATGAGCTCTTTCATTTTTGTTTCACTTTGTTGGCATGCACGTATGAAAGTTTTTACTGCTGTTTCACTTCAGCTAAATCTATAACAGGGATATTTATGTTCTTAAGTACAGTGAAATTTGAAAAAATTTCAGTGAAGTGGAGGGAACTTTGCCACGTTTCACCAGCATTTTGCTCTTGTTTTTGGGTTGCTTTTTATTTTTCCCCAGCTTTAAAATTCAACATAAGGTTAAAGAAGAAATGTATTTTCAGTACCGCAAGGTGGCAGTAGTAGATCTGGTTTTGTGCAGTGGTGGTGTATGGTCTTGTCCAGTGGGTAAGCAGTTTTATTTTAAGTAGTTGAACAATGTATCTCAAACTCACCAAGTTTCCTCAAATAATACGAGCAGGATATGTGGATTTCTGAACTGCTTTGAATAGGCTGTAAATACAGCAGGTCGAAGGAGCTGATTCTACCACTCTGCTCTGCCTTCATGAGGCCCCACCTGGAGTTCTGTGTCCAGTTCTGGCCCCCAACACAAGAAAGACATGGAGCTGTTGGAGTGGGTCCAGAGAAGGCCACGAAGATGATCAGAGGGCTGGAGAACCTCCTCTGTGGGAACAGGCTAAGAGAGCTGGGGCTCTTCAGCCTGGAGAAGAGAAGGCTCCAAGGGGTCCTTATAGCAGCTTTCCAGTACCTGAAGGGGCCTGCAGGAAAATTGAGGAAGGACTTTTTATAAGGGCAGGTAGCGACAGGACAAGGGGAAGGGGTTTTAAACTGGAAGAGGGTAGATTTAGACTAGATATTGGGAAGCAGTTCTTTACTGTGAGGGTGATGGGACAGTGGAACAGGCTGCCCAGTTAGGCTGTGGATGCCCCCTCCCTGAAGGCATTCAAGGCCAGGCTGGATGGGGCTGTGAGCAACCTGGTCTGGTGGGAGGTGTCCCTGCCTACAGCAGCGGGGTTGGAACTAGGTGGTCTTAAAGGTCTCTTCCAACACAGACTATTGTGTGGTTTTGTTAATGACCACTTGCTATGGAAAATAGAGGCTTTCTTTTGATGCATATTTTAAAAATCACGGAATCACAGAATGTCAGGGTTAGAAGGAACCTCTAAGATTATCTATTCCAATCCCCCTGCTGGAGCAAGAACTTCTAGATTAGATCAGCCAGGAATCATCCTTCAGCCAGTTCACAGTAGTCCACCTCGCTACGCAGTCATCCAGACCACATTTCCTTAGTATAACTGCAGGAGATGTGGGGAGATGGTGTCAGATGTCTTATTAAAATCAAGGTAGACCATGTCCACTGCTTTACTGTCATCTATCCCCCTGATTATGTCTTCATAAAAGGCTACCAGGTTGGTTAAGCATGACTTGCCCTTGGTGAAGTCATGTTGATGGCCCCTAATGATCCTCTTGTCCTTGATATGCCTGGAGACAGTGCTTAGGATAAGTTGTTCCATCACCTTGCCAGGGATGGAGGTGAGCCTGACGTGTCTATAGTTACCTGGGTTCTTCTTGGCCCTTTTGAAGACTGGAGTGACAGTTGCTTTCCTCCAGTCCTCAGGCACCTCTCCCATTCCCCATGACTTACCAAAGATAATGGAGTGGCCTAGTAATGACTTCTGCCAGCTCCTTCAGCACCTGTGGGTGCGTTCCATCAGAACCCATGGATTTATGGATGTCCAGGTTGCTTAATTGGTCCTTAAGCCAGTCCTCATCAACTGAGGCAAACTCCTTGATTATGACTTCCTCTGGAGCCTCAGGGGTACGGAGCTGCTCAGGACAGCCTCCAGCAGTGTAGACAGAGACAAAGAAGGCATTCAGTAACTCATCCTGCTGCGTATCTTCTGTCACCAGAGCACCCACCTCATTCATTAGTAGCCCGACATTGTCTCTGGTGTTAAGTTTTATCTGCAGTGTATTTGAAGAAGTCCTTTCTGTTTTCCTTGGCTCTTCATGCAAGTTTTAATTCTAAGGAGGCCTTAGCTTTCCTCCCTGCATCCTCTGACAACAGTCTTGTATTCCTCCCATGTGACCAGCCCCTCCTTCCATGGTCTGTAGACTCTCCTCTTCCACTTGAGTTTGCCCAGCAGTTCCCTGTTGAACCGTGCAGGTCTCCTGACTCCCTTTCTTGACCTGTTGGGATGCTCTGATCTTGAGCTTGGAAGAGGTGGTGCTTGAATGCTAACCAACCATCTTGGGTCCCTTTACCTTCAAGTACCCTATCCCATGGGATTTCCCCTAGCAATTGTTGACCTTCCTGAAGTCCAGGGTTGTGATTCTACTCAGTATTCTGTTCCTGCCACGTGAGTTCCTGAACTCTACCATCTCATGGTCGCTGCAATCGAGGCTGCCCTCAGTCTTCGCCACTTCAGTCCGACTCTCCTAGTAAATGAGAACAAGGTCCAAGAAAAAAATACATCAGGGAAGTTTCTGTTACATTGATTTTTTTTTTATTTATCTCTTGCTTTCTGTTGAAGTCTGTAGTTAAAGAGAAGGCATACTGCTAGGTGGTAGTCTAGGAACTGATAATTTTCAGAGGTTGGAAAAATACAGTGCTTTGCTTACATGTAAAAAAAAAAAGGTGCTAGACTTTTTTGAAGAGGGTTTGACTTTAAGAATTTATATTTTTGAGGGGTGATAAAAAATTTCAGTGAAAACTGAAACACATCAGACTACTCCCAGGGATTTACTGCTTAGCACCTCAGATCCACCTACAGCTCTTGCCAGTTAACTAGATTGTTCTTTTTGCAGTTAAGTAAAAATATGATAAATATATTGTTAATCAAGTCAGTCTCCTGTACTGTGTAAGACTTCTACATAAGTAATATGTTTGTATTTCTCTTCTAGTTTGGCTGGAATAGGGATGAATTTGACTTGCTAGCTGCAGGAAGGTAAATGATATAAGAAGAAATGGGTAAATCTGTATTTCATTTGTATAATGCCAGGATAATGATTTTTGAAGCATTTTGGGAATTTGGATATTATTACTGAGCTCATTATTAGAAAGTTATTCAAAATAAAGATTTTGATTATGGTTCTTTAAGGCTCACTGAATCCTATTATGTTTGAAACTGAAATTTAAAAACTATTGTTTTGGAACCAATTCAGTAAAATAAAAGGAGAAAATTAATGATTGAACAGGTTAGCTTCCTGTGACGTCTCATGGTACAGAACTGTGACTCCAGCTTTTTCTGTTTGTCCATCAGTTTGAGTAGTTGAGGTTGACAGCAACTATTGTCTTCAAAGATAGGCCAAAGGAGTCCTGGTCATAGGTCAGCATGCTTACCTGGTGTTGCAGAAGCTGAATATGAATAGCCCCACTTGCAAACCCTAGCTGTAAATCCTAAGATTATGAATCTGTTGTGGAAAGTACTAGGTGAAATCCTGTCATCTAATTTCATTTTTCTGCAGCTCATCGTACTACACAGAAGCCCATTAAAATGGGTGGCTACTTAATTAAGCTGATTGCATCTAGTAGTAGTGGCATTAGACCTCCTATTGCTAGAGAATTATTGCAGAAAGAAACTCCAGCTCTGCTGACTTGGGATTGAAGTTAGTAATCAGTTTTGAGAGATCAAGATCTTGCCTGTAATTCACTCACACATTTATGAAATACCACAGTTAAAGATTTGAAAATTGCAGTGTGTTCTGTTCAGAGATATCCTTCATGCTGTGTGAGACTGTACAGCTCTTGATCAAAAATGGGCCTTGCATGTTTTCAGTTACAGGCAAAGTGAAAAGCTAAAATACTGACTTTAGATCAGTACTTTCTGAAATGACTAACGGAACTTGACTTTTGGTGGAATGTGCCAAACGTTTTTTCATGTGAAACATTGCTCTTTTAAACTCTTCTTAGTCATCTTTCAGAATTCCTACTTATGTTTAATGCAGTTTGTAAACAAAATTCTAGGGAGGAAAAAAAATGAGCATGTTCAGCTTTATTTCCATTGTATGATTATATTTTCAGACTGGATTTATGATGCGTCCTTTTACAGAATATTTTGTTGTTTGAGCACTTGCTGTTTTCCCAGCCTTGCAGGTCATCTTATTGAATGTGGTGCTCAGTGTACTGGTGGAATATTCACTGACTGGCATTTGGTACCAGACTGGTAAGTAACTCTGACAACAGCATGTGTGTTTGTAGTAGACCAAATCATAGAATCATAGAATGGCTTGGGTTGGTAGAATCATCGAGTTCCAACCCCTCTTCTGAAGGCGGGGCCGAATATAAGGTCATCTGTTACAAAAATCAGTTTCTAATTCATCCTACCAATAGAGCGGCTTGGTTTGAAAGATCATCTGCTTCCAACCCCCCTGCCATGAGAGGAGTGTGTGTGTGTAATGGAAAAGACAATAAGAATACGTTACATGTTGAGTTAGGTCAGAGTTGTGCATTGTCCAGGCTTACACAGCTTGCTTTGTCAGGGATGCCAAAGTCCTCTCCTGCCACGTATTCCACCGTCCTCCTTTTCTGTATGTCCCAGTCTCCCAGTTTTGAACTGTCGGTGCCTGCATACACGTTACTGATCTTTGAAAAAGTGTTGCATGCACTACTTGTGTTCAGATGTACTAAGTGAGACCTTCTCATAGGTTTCTGCCTGCTGAGAGCTGCCATGAGAAAAGGCTCATGTAGTCTGCTTTTGATGAACTTGTTTTTAAGAGTAGCTTAAAAGCAGTTGTGGGGCATATTTGGCACGCAGTAAGTGATTCTCCAGTTGCAGTTTATTCCTGTTTTCCTTGGGATGAAAGGAAGGAGTCTTGACTCATGCGTTGTCCATCGAAGTCAACACTGCCTTTACCTGATGGAGAGCTAAAGAACTGTGGGAAAGATACAAGAGAAAAGGATGGTTTTTGTTTGGCTCTGGTCCTGCGGGGACCCACAGGATACATTTTCCTATTAAAAATCTTGGCAGCTCTGTATTTTTGAGTATTTTTCAATCAGAAATGGCAGTCACAGGCTCTTGTTCATTGCTGCTGAGAATGCATGGTTGATAGTGATGACTGTGTTGAAAAACAGTGTTTCGTAGCTGGGAATTTGTTCTATCAGAAAATACTGTTCTGTTCTTTGTATCTGTTGTAGTCTGCGTAGGAATAAATAGGAGGCATTACTTTGAGAGTGCCCCAAGTGTTATGAAAACTCTTGGTTTATAAGTAAGTGAATTTTCCATTTGATAGCATAGTTAGTAGTAGCCTGTCTGTAAGTTCAGGAAACTTGGTATGAATTCTTCTGATTATTTGGACATCCTGAATCAGTTTTCAGTGTGTGCAAATCTATATAATCAAATTCATTTCTTCACTAATGATAGAAGTTGGAGGCCTGCTGGCTCAGGGCTTGCAGAATTCACTTGAGTATAGTCTGTTAATGATTTGTACTTACTTTAAAAAGAGCTACATTTTTAAGCCTTCTGAAGTAATCTGTGTAATCTAAATCTCAATAAATCAGATATGCAAGTTTATATCAAAACCAGCCCAGTGAAGTCATTAAATGTGGGAAGAAGAAGCCAGGTCGAAATGTCTGTTCTCAGTAGTATGTTATGTCAAAGGCACGTTAATTTCTCACCTCTGTGAGTGTGGTCTTGTGGCTGAGAATGCTTAGCATTCATGTCTGTGAACAGTTACTGGACCTTTACATTAGAGCTTAAGGATATTTTCACAATACTTACACTGTTCTCCAGTGAATGCTAGAAGGCAATCTCTCTTGTTCCCTCACATTTCATTGCAGAAGGTAGGTTTGGTTTTGAACAGTAGTCAAGTTGCTGTTCAGTCTTCAGCTGCTGAGGCAGATCTGAGTGCACTGCTAAGAAAGACTACTGGCTTTTCTGAGTTTTGAACAGGAAAAAAATACAAAAGAAAATCGAATTTTAGGCCTATGAAACTCAACTATTTGTTGTTCCCAGTTAGGCAAAAGCTGCCTGAGTCGTTCCTTGTGTGGATTCTCTGATGCTTAGCGGAGAAAATTGAAGAAATCATTGAGTTTGTAGAAGACTAATCAGCGTTCTTAAATTACTGATTATAAGTAAATGCTGTCAAAGAAGACACCTACTCCTTTTCTGTTATTTGTGCAGTGATATATATATTAGGTGAAGAAAAGAAGCGAGTAGCACGTCACTGCTCCGTGTTTGATCCCTAGTGGCATGGCACTCAGGGAATTCATGGCAGTGTCAGAATGGACTGTGATGTCAGAGGTATACTGATAATGCACACCTTTGTATTTCACTTTGATTAACCCCAGACATTGCTGTCTCATTATTATTTAGTGTCAGTGGGTGACTAGTACACTGTTCTGTTTTGTTTTGAAATGCAGGAGAGAATAAGCTAATGCTGATCAGTAAAATAATCATTTTGAGGAGATGATAAACACTGAAATTTTGCCCTAAGCCAAGAGTGTACAGTGGTTGAGACTGCATAATCCTCTGGCCTGGGATGACCAAAAGGGTAAGTCAGTAGTTGTAGTCTCTTAAGGGCTGGATCCAGATTGCTGTGGGGACTAGCATACTGGATTCTGTTCCAGTCCCAGATGAAGCAATGTGGTGTGCCTTTTTCTCTCAGTGTGGTGTGCACCACCTATTGCACGCAGCTGAAGCTGCCTGGCAGCTTGTTTGGCCTGAAATTCTCAAGGCATTTAGAGTACGCATGCTGTGTATACTGTGAAATTCCCTAGTTAGAGGAGGTAGGTGTTATGATCAGTACACAACAGTGCACAACAGGAGTTGCAGCAGAGCTTGGATATGTGTTGATACCTACATGTAGGTGTGCATGTGTGTTACCTATCCAAAAGCATGTGCTGACCTTGCTGGCCACAGATAAATAGTTTTGAATGGGTTATAAAAACATTGCTGGAAGTGATAGCAATTCTTACTTTTTGCCCAATAACATTCAGTCTAAAATAGGTGCCCAGGGAGTTGGGACACGTGGTTTAGAGTTCTCCTCAGCATAATGTTTGTTGTGTCGCCCAGGAAACTGCTTTATCTATAAAGCTAAAAGTTGATATCACAACCAGATTGGACTTTGGTCTGCCTACTTGTCGTATGCAATATTGTGGGTTCTTTTTCTTTCTTGTGATCTTCTGCTAGTGAATGTACAACAGTATGCTGTCCCATCTTCTGTTGCCAATAATCAGAAGATGGCTTCTTCAGCAAGACCAGTTTGGGGCCTTTGTTACCACTGTAGTCAGTGAGGACCCACTTTAACTGGTAACTCCTCCTCTAACCAATTGGAATGAGATTCTGAGGATTAGTCTTAGCTTGGATTTATTCAGTTCTGTGGTTTACTGATACATACAATTTAATTGTTAAATACCAAAAATGCAACTCAAAACACATTTTGGATGAAGTGACGTTTGTTATTCTCTCCTTTCACAAACTCATGTTTATTATTCCTTCTGCATTTTAACTATTAAAGAACTGCTCAAAATGTTTCCAGAGTAGTACTTTCATATTTATCTTGAGTATTGTATTATATTAATTACAAGATGATATAGCAGTTAGAGTTCATTTCAGGAGTTTCTTTTCAGAGTCATTTATATTGCCTCATCCCACTGAGGAATTTTATCTCCTCCAGTAAAGAAAGCTGGAGAAGGATTCTATTGGGAGTATAATGACAGGACAAGGAAATAACAACTTTAAACTAAAAGAGTATAGATTTACATCAGGTATTAGGAAGATATTCTTCCCTGAGAAGGGTGATGAGGCAGTGGAACAGGTTGCCCAGAGAAGCTGTGGATGCCCCCTTCCCAGCGGTGTTCAAGGCCAGGCAGGATGGGGCTGTGAGCAACCTGTCCTAGTGGAAGGTGTTCCTGCCTATCGAAGAGGATTGGAACAAAATGGTCCTTCAGGTCCCTTCCAACACCAGCCATTCTATGATTCTGTCACTAAACTGCTGTAGTTCTCTTATTGAAGAAAGAACTGCAGTGCCACCTGACTCTCTGCCACTTTGGGTACTGTAACTGTTGTTGACTACTAGCAACGTTCAGGTTCAGTTTTGTGATCTTGCTGTACTGTGCTAAATTACAGCATGGCTGTGGGCTGTGTTGGTTTGTGCTGGCATGCTACAGAGCAAGTGTCATATGCTCCATAGTCATTCAGCATAGTGGTAAGCTGGGGAAGGAATTTCTTCTTCCAGTGGAAGGTAGATATGGTATGTACTAGAAGACCTCGTGCAGATATTTGCTGCTAGGTGGCTGTAACTCCAGGTTTAAATAGCTGTCACTTGACTGAATCATGTCATAGGGGTGGCTTAGCTCTGTTTGTTTCCAAAATAAAAATTAAAATTAAGTAGTATCTTGCAGCAGCATAAAAATAGTTTTTTATTTTAAGAAGGCATGCTTTAATATGAATTGTTACTGACATCTCTGAGGTAATATAGAACACGTGGATTTTCGCAGTCATGTTTTGTGTAATGAATCAAGTCTTCTGAGGGTAAGGCTTGGTTAAACTGAAGTTCAGTCTGTGTTAGTAGCTCAGAAGCAGTGGTGGGAAGGTGTGTGTCTGCAGTTTACCTCTTTTTCCTTCGGAACAATTTCACTGAGGACATGCAATTTCAATGGGTGCATGAACATCCTGTCTGTGACGGCGACTTAAAGTAGGTTACAGGTAGGGATGTCTGCTCCTGGTGCAGCAGGGCAGACTGCATTATCTGTCTCAGTGGAAGCAATTTCACATTGGGTAAGTGATTCGAATAAGCTGCGTTCAACCTGCTAGCAAGGCACCTGATGCAGGCAGATAAGGGATAGGAGAATAGCACTGAGCAGTTGACAGCTCTTTAATTCTCATCTTGTTCAGTCTGTGATCATAGGCTGTGTGTGAGTTACTTTGCTTCCTGCATGTGTCTCATTACCTATAAAGTTGGGATAGTTACAGACCTTTAATAGATATTATAGAATAGATAAAAGATGGTTGGTCTTGACTTAAGAGGTTTGATGGATATTTCTTGGATGATGGATGATATTTCTTGTCTGATGGATGTTTCTTGGATATTTTCTTGTCACTTTAAAATGGAGAATGTTACATCCTGCTGCCAACTTTCATCCCTTTCTTTCCCTCCGAACAAACAGACAAAAAAAAACCCAACCCTATATTGTAATCATTTAGAATCAGATTTATATATTTTTTGTTGTATTCACAGGGTTCGGTTTATGTTTTTTCACTTTTTCCCTCTTTTTCTTCTTTTCTTTCCTTTTTTAATACCCTCTATCTCGTTCATGGTTTAAATAGTTTCAAAGATCAGACAAATGAAGTATAATCCTTGCTGATTCCTGGTGGGCTTTTCTAGGTGTCCTCCAGCTACTGTACTTTCCAAGTTTTGTATGCTAGCAGTATTAAAGTTGCTGATCTCTGGTAACAAATCTTCTCTCTTAAGTCCATTATTTTAAAAAAGGATTATGTTTTAAGCTTCCCAAGATAAGGAATCTGTCCAAACTCCCATGAACTTTTGCTAATGTCATTTCAGAGTTCACTGCTTTCTTTGCTTACTTCCTTTAAAAGTTTGTGAATGCATGTTATGCAAACTATGTTCTTGTAACCTTTGCTAATAGCCAGTTTGGTTGTACATTCAGCGCATGGTTCCCTCCAGCACCCAAACATAATTAATTTCATTTTAATTATATACGAAGGACCTGAAGATCACTGACTGTAGTGGGAATGGTGATAGTAAGCACCTTTTTATTTGAGAAGAGTTTTGCTTTTTCAGGGGGCTTTATCTCCTTTATTTGGATTCTTTTTCTCTCTCTAACATTGATTTCCACAGATTTCTAACTTTTGAGGGGAAGTGAGCCAGGTAGCCCTTCTGTGAGAGTGTAAAGACTGCTTCAATTTTCAGCTTTTTAATTCTAGGTTATTTCTTTTGCTCCTAGAAATGATCTGTAAAGGAAAAGCTTTATAACATGGAAAGCAAATACCTGGATATCTTACACATAACCTTGAAAAATCTACCCTGCTACTATATAAATCAGCACGAGCTCATTACTATGAGCTATTTGATTGCTTTCTGTACGTTCATCTATAGAGAGATGTAGTTTTCTATTTTACTGCTTTTGTCTTAGTTACGCCTTGTAATTTTCTGTTAATTCCTGCTTTTATTATTATTTTTGGGCTAGACATCTTACTTTCACGTGTTCCTGTCTTCTGTCTTCACTTTTCTGTGAAAACTTATCAGAAAAAAGGAAATATTGTCCTTCATGTGTTTCTGATTATTTCTGTTTCCTACTCCCTTTGTGCTTTGGCATCCTTTTTACAATTTCAGACTGCAGAATACATTTCCTTGCGTTCACCCTTGATGCTGGGTGTGCTGCTATAGCTAGCTGGGCTAGAATTAGCCATCATGTTTTTCTGCTGAATTTACTTCCTTAATAAAAGTCATCTAAATCTTCCAGCTTCTGCTCTGCTTTTGGTGGTTACATTAGTAATGTAGTTAGCAGCGTCATTCTCCACTCCTGTCTGCTTGCAGTTGGTGTTTGGTGTTCCATGTGTCATTCTTTGATGGGCAATAAAATGCATCCTCTTATTTTGGTTAACTTATTTAGTGCTTTTCCTTCGCTTCTGCAGAAGCGCCAAGCTACATTCTAAATCTTGATCGAGTTTACTTAATTAGTAATTACCATGAAATTCTGCTATGTCGTTTCTCTTTTCACCTCGTATTTATCATGGTTTCTTTCCATGTTTTCCGTTTCTTTCCATTATTTTAGGCACAACATAGGCTTTCCCATTGTAGAGTGCTCTTCTGAAGGAGACTTCATTATTTCCAAACCACCCGACACAGGGGGGCTGATCTCCTTTGGCACTGTGGCTGAACAGCTGGTGTATGAAGTGGGCAATCCTCAGCGCTACCTTTTACCAGATGTCACCTGTGACTTTTCTCAAGTTTCCATCATTGAAATTCCAGGTTAGTCTGCCTGTATGTTAAGAGATGTGTAAGCTAGATGATCCAACTAAAGCTATTGCTTTAATTTCCGTGTTTTATCTGTGTATTCCTTGCCATATCAATTCCTGAAGGCATCGTATTGTAACCAACTGATTTTTTTTGTAGAAACAAAGTTCCTTGCAAGGACTAAGTTCATTTTTTCCAAGGAACTTTGTTAGAAATTGTCTTAGGAATTGTAACCATACTCCTAGTGTTCTTACTGGTAATCTAAGTCTTTGATCACCGCTCTTACTGCTTCACTTTTAAGGCATATCTAACACCAGCCAAGACTTTGAACTGTGCTCCACTGTGATTTTGTATTTTTTTTTAAACTCCAGCTCAGTTTATTTGCTGGAAAAGGTGTATTTAATTAAAAAAACTCATTAGAAATGTAATAATGAGCAGCTGTGTTGTTCTAAGCATCACTTAATCATAGTGTTTTCCCTAGGCATAATTAGTTGGATCACAGTGGTAGAAGCTTGCTTAGGTAGAAGACATCCACTGGAAGACATGTGTTAGAAGAGGTAGATTTCCATCCTCAAACCTACAACAGTCGCATGAACAGCCAACAGGCTAAAGGTGCATATAACACTTGTTTCAAGTTTGGACTTGAAGGCAAAGCAACAAAACAAAACTCAAAAAGCCCTGAACTGCGAGATTTGTTGATTGGATTAGAGTGTGTGATAAAGTCTTACTCCACCTGTGACACGTATATTCATTTTCATTCTAATGGAACTGAACCTGTGACAGTATGCTGAGTGCCTTTGTAAGACTTACAACAGCTGAAATTTCAAATTAAGAACTTCCTGGGAAAAACACATTGCTTCAATAATAAAAGTACTGTAAAACCGTACAGTGAACCTTGTGCTCATGCAACATAACTGAACGGCACTCTGATAAGAGCAGTTTATTGCTCGTAGCCACTAGTTTTGTCTTTTTTTTTTAAGAAAAAAGAAAAAGAGCACCCTAACCTTCCTATGAACTCTCAGCTTACAAATGACCCGATATGACATGTTTGAACTTAAAATGAACTTTCACATGAACTTTCAGTTAGTCTTCTTAGAAATATAGCAGATGGAAAATGGACAGATTTCTTAAATATTTTTAGTTTGAAGTGCTTTGACACGTACACCAGTAAAAGCAGGGCATGCTATCTGGTTTTGCTGTTTACATTGCTGATTTTATTGTCCTGCTGGATTAGTGACAATGTTTGAACTGAGAGGTGCTTCTGTTTTCTTTTAGTCAATGGATGTCATGCATTTTGTTTTGTTTATGTTACTCCTTAACCAGCTATATGAAAGTCTTCCAGATTTTTACTGACCGTAGAGATATTGTTTTCTGTTGACAAAGAAAACAGTTTCTTCTGTTGAACAAACCTTATTTCAGCCTTGCAGAGAGTGATGATATTTATGCGTGATACACAAAACTAAGGTCAGTCTGATTCCGTTTTTCAGATGTGTTCTGAAGGGATTTTTTGTTTGGATCACATCAGAGTATTTCTGTAAAGCTCGAAACTGTTTCCTAAATATCTGCAAGCACAGATTAGCTGCTGTGTAATGCTGTTGGTTTGACATGAGATGCTGATCCTGCACTGCTGATTTTTAAGGGACTTCACCTACTTATTCCAGGTCAAACTTGAAGTTTGAACCTGATGACATGGCAGCGTTTTCTCATTTCTTCTTGTTATTAATATACCTGATACTGAACAAAGGAGTTGCACAAGAGCATATATTCAGATTGTTCTGTTTCTATTATCAAGAAGAATGCTGAAGTTAAACGATCCCTTCACTTATGAGCTATCAGCAAATAAGTTTTCACATCGTTCTGGTTCTGTTTCTTTGCCAAGTGTGAGGGACTGTTGTCCACTCCAGCAAGCTGCAGTAAATGATGTGCTTTGTGTGTGTGAGCTGGTTAACTGGTTGTTAAGTGGAAAATAACTACTGGATCTGAACTTACAAGGTTTCTTTCTGTGTTAAGTAATTACAATGTTGATATAAACATTTCAAGCATTTTGTTAAAAGACAAGTTGAAGTTAGAATTATAGCCATCATGTTTCAGTTCAGAAGGCAGAGAGGACTGTTCTGTAGAAGGTTCTCTCTTCTGTGGAAGTACAGCTATCAGTGATTTGTTTTTCTGATAGAATGCATTTGGTTAACATAAAGCAAGTCTTTGAAGTTATTCTGAAGAAGCTTCAGTATTGATTTTTTTTTTTTAACCACTCCAGGTTTTGAAGGTGGTGCAGTGAAAGTTCATGGAGCGAAAGGATCCCCTCCTTCAGCGTTTTATAAGGTATTACTTTCTTTCTAAGTAAGGAGTACCTTACACTCTATATAAAATTCGATATTTTGGAGAAAATAAAAATATTTTCTGCCAGAAATTGTTGCCTCTTTAATGTCTTTACACAGACACACATCAGTGCACACATGAAAAAGACCAAACGAACATTACTGGATGTATAGAAACGTGATTATTTATGTAACAGGAAAATCCACATATAGCCAGAAAAGGCTGAAATGGATTTTTTTAATAATAAATTGTGATAGATTACTCAGCTTTTCAGCTCCAGAATGCATCTCATGTACCAAAATGTGTAGGTACAGGAGATATGTAGAGGTATAGGAGATAATTTAAGATGACAGTGAGAAGTGATTCTGAGTTTTACAGTTCTACAGGTTTGACTTTTCTTGTGATACCATTTCACATTTGAAGTAGTAGAGTAAGTTTACTGATTATCTTGCTTTCTTATCATTCCACTACTGAGATTGTAAAAAATGTAACTGTTAGAGAGCATTTATAGTATATCATTACTGAATCACGTGTGATTTTTAATCCCTTTCTTGTTAGGTAAGTGCCACTTACCTTGATGGTTTCAGAGCTACTGCTGTCTGTCCGGTGGGAGGTCCGAAGGCTGTACAAAAGGGAAAACTCACTGCAGAAAGTATTCTCAAAAGGTTAGTATTTGTTGCTCGAAAGGGGTTTTGGTTATTTGATATTCGGAGATAAAGAAAATAGAACGGTGACATGATGGTATCACATTAACCTTTAAGAACCAGAGAAGACAGGAGTCAGAGGATGTTTAAAGACTTCAGTTAACTGAAATGAGGTTTCCTAAACAACCTGTAACTACACTTTTAAGCTGTTTGACAGAGAGGAAAAGGTTAGAAAGTACTGTTCAAAATGAACAGGAGAGACCCAAATTTATTAGATTTCAGACAGATTTTTATTTGATTTCTTTTCCACAGAACTTATTGTCAAAAACTTGGAAGCTATGAAATGTAGATAGTTTACTAAAATTGTTTTAGACAAAATACCTTATTACCTTGAAAATGGGACTAATATTTATTTTTGCTGGAACAATTCTCTTGTTGGAAAGCAGCCTGACAGACCTCTGGTCATGTTGTCACGCCAGGATATTTGTAAGAGGGATTCCTCTTAAATATAATTGTACTTGCAGAAGTCTTGGACCATTTATTCCAATAGCACCCAAACTTTCTAGTTATGTGAGCTACTGCTTTCCTCTCAGTTTTATATAAGACTTCTCTGTCAATCCATCAAATTTTACACCTGTAGAACAAGCTCTCTGGGTTAGGCACTTTTTAGAAATCAAGTAAATCAAGTATTATTTTTTTTTCCCATGCTCATTGGAAGAGAAATGGCCTCAGTGGTAGTATACTGACCACCTTCATTTTTTTTATATCAACGAGAATCTCACTTTATATTTAAGCCCCTCTCATGTTCCAGGTGCCTTGTTTAATATTCACAACAGTGGTGATACTGCTGGTGTCTTCACAGTAGTCAATTGATGGAAAATGTTTTTCTCATCCTAACATAATTCCAGTGTTTCAGCTGATTAAATCTCTCAAACAGCTAGAAAGTTGCCAGACAAAGAAGGAAAGGAAAAACAGTTTAGTTGATTCAGAATGTAACTTATTTTTCCAGTCTGCAACATGTTAAAATTTTGGACTACTTCTAATAGTTTTATTATGTTAAAGCATTTTTCCTCTCATATTTTTTACTGTGAGTTTTCGGTCTTTGGACTTCGTACGACTGTTAAAAAATTAAAAGATGAAGATCATTCTCGGTTTGTTCCGTGCTTGAAAGTTAGGCTGCTTTTTGAGAGCCTCTGGGAATACCAGTTTAGTTGTTGACCCTGCCCCCCAAAAATGTCAGTTGCTGTTTCTCTAAAAGCAGCATGTGTTTTTATGGTGTATTTAAAAAAAAAAAGTTAATTTCCATTATTAATCACCATTGGCCAAACGCAGCATTCTTGAAACAGCGTGCTTTTGGTCGAAATAACCTTACAGAATTACTGTGAGGAAATTCAGGGGGCCGGAATAGACAGGCGTGAGTAGTGACAAAGAGTTCTTAAAAGTTTTGTCAAATTCTTGGCATTGGAGTTGTATGTTCATTAGTTGGAACTCAATATCTGTACGTTTGAATAAAAGTTCGTCCTCCAGTGATATTTTTCTGCACTGATGGCTGTGGTGTAGTAAGGTAGCTGCTTGTATTTATTGCTGGGTCATAATGTCATGCTGGAGAAACAGAGGTAAGAACTGAATTACTAATGTGAAAACCAGGAAGGCTGCATGTACTGTAATACTCTTTCAAGCAGTTATTTTTTTTTAATATAAAAGACCTTCTGTCTGGCTTTGCTCATCATCTGTCATAGAATTTGATTAAAGAAAAGGCTCAAACTGAAACGGAGGGATAAATTCAGAGGTACTTTGCCTGTATCACTTTGGATGCAATATTTCTGTTTGTTTGTGTAGTAAAAACTATCAGTAACCAGCTTACATTGCAGAGCTAATTCCTGTGACCACACAGGGATACTACAGACAATTACTTTGAGACAGTTTACTAATTAAAAAAACAATCATTTGTTGCAGGACACGTCTCATTTTCAGTCAGCTTGGGTACGAAGATTACAGTGCAGTTAACATACAGGTTTTAGGGTCTGAAGATACATATGGGCCGCACGCTAGAAGGAGTATAGATGGTGTAAGTATGCAGTGCAGTGTTCTTAAACTTGTAATGACCTCCTCTTCTTAATCTCTCCATATCATTATCTTGTTCCCTAACTTTAAAGAAAGTCACTGTCATCCTGGAATTTCACCCCGCCATCTTGCAGAGAGTTCAGTGTCGTACTTAGTGCACAGAATTACTGACAGAGTCTTTGTGTTGGGTCTTGCAGAAGATAAGGAATCTTACAGAAATGTTGTTCTGCTCTGTTCATCTGAAGAAATACCTGAAATGTTCTTACTGTGTAGACTTTCATTGCGTTAGGGCACAAGTCTAGAAGACAGCAGTATAAAAGAAAAGGCAGAGTTGTTATTGCTCGTGCTAAAGCTCTGTGGGTCCCATCTGTGGAACAGTCCTCAACTACATAATCCTGTAGCATGTTTTGTGGCTTGTTGCATTCATCTGTAAGAATGTGAATGATGACTGCAGCCACTGCAGCTGTGATATCCAGATTGCTTTCCTTATCTAGAAATGGAAGATCTTTCCTTAGGAGGAAGACTGTAAATTTTGTCCCCACTTACATATGCTTAAAATATTTAGACAGTTTAGATTGTTCCAAAACAGTAGGATCTAATTCTTTTCTGTCAATGAAAGCCCTACAAAAACCTTATGATACACTTGTCAAAACTCAGCTCTTTGAGTTTGGTCTTGGCAATGCCAGCATGTGAAAAGCTGAAAATGTGTCTGTGTAAGGAAAGAAAAAGAAAAAAGAAAAAAAAAAAAGAGATAGTGAAACTTTTATTATAGAAATTATTTGCTCTTAGAAATGAGACAAGTTGTGTCTGCAGCTGTGTGTGCTTTAGTGCTTGAGCTTCAGTTTTGTTCTGCGCAGCAGCAAGAGTTGCTTCCTGCAGGGCCATCTATGATGTGGTCTTTTCAGGATGACAAACCCTGCTACATTAAATGTGTTACTGAGATTGCAGAAGGAAAATACTGGAGCATAGGAGCACATTTTCCAGATATTCAACTTCAGTGTTCTCTTTGCACCAGTGCCTTTCAATTAGGCATCGTAATTCATTTTTTAATGATATCATTACATGAGAAGTTTTCTGTGTTGCTCACTAGAGTGAATAATGGTTTGGAAAAGAACAGCTTCTCTGTTCTTACTGTTCAGTTTGCCTTGCTTACATTATACTGAAAACATTTTCCAAACCAAGTTGAATATTTACAGTATTTCCTGTATTTTAGCCTCAGCTTCCAGGTCTTACAATAAAATTAAATGCAGCAGTGTCTCTGTACGTGCTTTCCATACATGCCTGCAATAGGAAGGTTAAAGCTGCAACACAGGAAGCTGCTTTGCAACCTTATCTTCTTCACACTGGTTCTCTGACAGAGGAACCTAACCCAAATAGTTCTCATCTGGAAAGCAGTCGCAGTAGCTTCAGAGGAGTGGGGGAAGAGTGAGGGTTGCTTTGCCATTTAAAACAAAGCTGCAAACTCATGAGAGAAACACATGCCCTTTGGTAGATGTATTCTCTTTCTGATTATGTCTTTCTGCATGAAATTAGTTGTGCTTGTTTGGATTGCAAATAACAGTGGTCAAAAGCAGAGCCATGTTGTGCTGAGTGGTATGTTATCACACAGGGGAAACAATCTGTGCTTCAAAGATTCATCTGCCTGAATTTAAACTGTGCACTGGCTGTGTATCTCAGAGTTGGATCCATTTAGTCTAGAGTGAGATGATATTTATAACACTGAATATTCCCAGCACAGGATGATAGCCTTGAGAAATTCGAAAATCCTTGCTTCCTTTCCTGTCTTTCCAGTCTCTCCACCTGTTTCCATAGCTATTCTTTGCCACTCTGATTGCTTGCTTTATCAGCAGAAACAGTGGACCCGAGTCAGCACTGGGTGACTCTGGTGGTATTTAATTGCTAATACTTCCTGCTCTGATTTTTCTGTTCTTGAGGAAGAAGGGATTATGGCAATGTCACAGTACCAATGAGTTCATGATTTAGAAATACTGGATGTGTTTCACGTGAAAGTTATATATTAACAGTACCTGACTTAATAGTTGGTTTTGTAAAAGCAGCGCTGAGCATGGGTGTGAGCAAATTCTTAACAGTATAGAAATAATGCTTCATTAACCGAAACACAGAAGTTTTCTTCTAAACCCTTTTATGCCGCATTTCTGAACTTGAAAGATAAATTTGTTTTGCTGTTTCTTGGTATGTTTTTTAATCGTACGGTAATAGAAGTGACTGAAATAGTCTGCAACTTCAGTTTTGGTATTGGATGAACGCACAGAGGTCAGAACTCTGCTTTCATAGACCACTGCATGCTCTCTGGACAGGGCATGAGGTTGGGGCTTAACTGCAGTACTGAAGAGGTAGTGCAGTGCAGAAGCAGGAGCAGATGCAGATATGAATACATGAGCATGCTTTCTGTGAGAGTATTTTTATGTGAATCTCCAGACAGCTTTGTGAGCTCTTTAAAAATAAAAAAGAGGAAAGTTTCAATTTGTAGCATTGCCACGTTTTTCTTCTAAGGCCCTTCACTACTATGTTTTAGCTGGAGAGCTGGGAGCGTTTTGTCTTGCTGTGACTTTGTTCATTTTGGGATTTTAGTATGTATTTGAGTTGGAGTACAGCACTTGGTAGTCTGTTAAAATAACTACCTCTTTGGGATGATCTTACAGTAGCCAGAAGGACTGGCATAGCAGTACTGTATGCTACATGTCTTCTGAGCACCATTTCAGCAGCTGTCAATAGGAAATGCAACCATGTTCTTATATTTTGAAGTTACTTAAGTTCCTGAAGCTGACTTGAGATTTTTCTAATGTTGTCATGTTCTACAGGTATTATTTTTGTGAAAATGTATGGTGTATTTGCTTGGAAATTAGACTTATGAGACATCTGTATTTACTTTTATGCCATATTTTTAAAGAATGCAACTTTACAGAAACATTGGTGATGAAAATAAACTAAACTAAATGAAACTAACTAAAGTTAGGAGATGTATTAAGAAACAGACAGTTTAGGAGTTTGGATCCGTGTTTTCTTTGGTTATTTTGAAGAGGAAAGCATTTATTTTTGTAAGTTTAAAATGCTTACTTGAGTCTTAAAACTTGCTAAGATTTTTTTTTTTTGTATGATACTTGTTAAATTTACATGAATTGTAATTAATGTATTTTTTTAGGCGTGATGGCATAGTGGTTTTCCCTATGACAGCTGTGCAAATTAGCAGTTGCTCCATTATAGAACTATTGAGTTCTAGTTCTTGAAATCAGGAGCACCCATTCAACTTCCTTCAGTGAATAAGCATCTAACCATACCATAGGAAAGCTGAGTTGTGAGTTTTGTCTGACCACAACTTGAAGTCAGCTCATTTAACAACTGCCTGCATATATTATCTTCTCTCCTGTTCCCATCTCTTAGGGGAAAAATGCTGCCAGCACAAAGGCTCTCTTGTCTTTTCAGGGTTAAGTCATGAAAAATTTGGTCAAGTGTAGGGTAATGCTGTTCCCTGGCCCAGAAAAAACTCCCTGCAGGAGTCATTCCATTCTTTTCAACTGACATAAAAACACGCGCTTTTGCTCCACGCCTCATCTGCTGTGTTTTGAGGCTGTAGGTGTTCATAGGTGTTTGTTTCTGGCAGCAGTGGATCTCGAGTGTGGATCTTCTTGTGGAAATGTCACCAATTTCTCTATAGGTAAAGAAATAGGCTTTTTTTCTAAAATCTGTTGAATGTTTTACACTAATAAGAGAAATGCTATTTTGAAATATTCATGATTTTATGCATAATTAGGGAAGCTATCAAACACTTCAGAAATTGCTAGTTAAAAGAAGTTGGGATGAACTATTGTGTATATTGTTTTTGTTGCAAACCTGGTATTTTTTTAGTTCTGTTCTCTCTTTAAACTCCCAAGGATTAGGTTTGACTTCTTTTCTATGAGCAGATCTATTTACTTTGTGATGCTAAGGGAAGTAGCCTTGGCCCCAGAGCATTCTCAGTCCATTAGAAATAGGAGTACAGTTTGCTTGCCCATCTCACTAAGTGAAGCAGTTTCCTTACAAATTAGTGTTTGTTATAGAACTTGATTTTGAAGGATGTTTTGATGCACAGCATTGTAGCAGTCTGAAGTACCCAGTGGTTGATGTACTGGTAAAGATGACGTTAACTGAAAGTTACAGATATGTTGGATGGAAAGCCACTAACTGAAAATCGTAGTTAGTAATGAGCATGAGTCCATTACATTTGCTTTGAATGCTGAGCTACATTTGCTTTTTGATTTGACAGATATAACTGCTGTTATGCTGCTAAGCTAATCTGCTTTTTCAAAGCAGGGTCCTCGAGAAGCTGTTATTTGGCTTGCAGTACATCATAAGCAAAAAGAAGCTTTAGAAATCTTCTCCAAAGAGATTGCACCAGCTGGAACTGGCATGGGTAAACATTCACATCTTTCTCCAACAATATAATTTAGCTGTTTATGTAGAGAAGTCAAACTTTCGGATCTAATTTAAAAGTTTTAAATAGTATACTGCAGTGAGAATGCTGATGGTCCCCACCTGAGTCTTTACTCACACTGTGCATGTTAGCTCCCCAACTTAAATTCTGATCTTGCACTATTATGTCTAGCCTCACGTTAATGTATTTAACTTTTGACTGGGAGTGAGTGTGTTGTACTGGATTTTCTTCATTGACCTCCGAAGTAAAGACAAAACACCAGGATTTAATTAAAAGTCAGTCTTGGTTTTAAGAGTATATAGTTTTAAGTATTTGCACAAAGGTCACCTGTTGTGAAATCGTCTCTGCTTCTTTTGTTTTATTAGATATTTGTTCCAAGAAAGACTTTGCATTTATTCACTGTAATTTTCATTGCACTGTGATAGCTTCTAGGAGAACTTATTAACTGATCACTTTGAGCACATTTTTTTTTTCTCTCTTTCTTCTCTTCTCCACCCACGTCAAATCTAAGTGTTACCACTGTATTCATCTTAGTTGTAAGGTCTACATTATATGCTGGGATCTGACTGCTGCTTACGCTACAAACACTCATTTAATCTTTTTAAAATCCATTTAAAATTTGGAGAGCTTCTTCTGGAAGACTGGAGGTCGGCTGCGTTGCAATTGCTTCTCTGCATTAATAGAGCAATGTATTGGGGATTTACATGAATCTTCAAATTAAATTGTTTAACCTGAATGTCAACTTCCAGAACACGTTTAGAATCCTGATTCGTGGTGGCTGAATGTTGCTGTGCAATTAAACAACTGGTCAACATTTTCTTTTGGTGGATTCAAAATTGTTTGGAACTAAGCATGTTCTCTGTTTGTAAGGTGGTGTCAGAGCTGCAGATAGCATAGTACCTCTTTTTAGTTGGTTATAAAAGAAGGATTGATGCATGGTCCTCTTTTTTTTTTTCCCTTTTTTTTTTTACTCCCTCCTACAAAACAGAATACAATCAGTTGGAAGTAATTAGGAAGATTCATTTTAAAATATTTTGCAATTGTGAAGGTTATTTAGTGGATCAGCATTTACCACAGATGTGCATTACTTCCAAAGACTGTTACGTTAATGAATGATACTGTTTTCATGGTTAGATTGAGCTACCATTTCTGAAGTTAGTTAAGGATTTACAATTGAAGTAGTGTTTTTCCCTTTTCATCATTCTCGTGTTCTGTTCCTGAAAGTAAAATCTCTACTTGTTCTTTATTTTATATGTAGATAGATGATCCCCTAGCAAGTGTCCTGAACAAAGGAAAGATGGTTGGATTTAAAACAGTTGCTTATTTTTAGGATCTGAAGTTGACACATACACAGTTGTCCTCCAAAATTCTTAGTGTGTGCTTTGTCCAGTTTTTTTTTCACTACTGTTGTCTGTAAGAATAAACAGTAAAAAATCTGTGCTACTTGACTTGAGTAGCACAGTACTGTACAGTATTAACAGTGAGTCTCCATAGTATGGGAACATTTGTTTCTTAAGGTGACTGGCCAGCTTTCAGCTCATGTTATCAGAGCAGTGTCTTTTACTTAAGTGAAATTTAATCACTTTAGTCCAAATATATTTGAGCTATTTACCTGGTAAAACTTAGAGGGCAGTTTCAGCTTTTCAGTCTTTACAGGGAGCAAGAGCAGGATAAAAAGCAGTGTTTTTTCCTTGTGGTTAGTAGGTGTGTTGCAGCAGTGTTCTGCATAGTGCTTCACAGCAGAGACTTAAAACTCAGGCTGTTAGAACGTCAGAGATGTGGTTTTTAGCTCATTTCTGTAATGTGTTTTTAATTCCCCTTGTTTTTCTTGACCACCAGTGAGGCACTTGAGCATACTTGCACGCTACCATTCTGCTGTACAATTTTCATATTATTAAAGTTGCAGATGCTTAAGCAAAGAGAAGAATTTCATGCTGCTGTATGTAGATGTCATCCAGGAGAGAGGGATTTTATTATGTGTTTGGAATACAGCATTTGTAGTGTAAACTGTTGTTGAGCTGTTGAGCTGTCAACTGCTGTTGAGCTGGATACCTCGTTTACCACTTTAAACAGTCAGTTTTCAGTTTGATTACTTAATGGGCTTAAGGAGATACAAGTTATTAAAAAACTCAACCGATCATTTTTTATTTTTTGCAGTTAGTACCTGAGATTGGTTAACTTCCATTTGGTGAAAGAATGCTTTTTGTTCTCTGGGTTTCTCAATAATTTGAAAATTGATAATTGTGAGTTTATTTAACAATGGCTAGCAATTTAGTCTTTAATTTTCAGACTTAATAGTACAATTTTAGAGCTGTTTTCTTGTTCTACAAAGTGTGCTTTTGTGTACTTTTTAGATTTGGATAGATTTTTCTGAATAGAGCCTAGTGGGGAAGAGTCTCAAGAAGTGCCTTGCAGAATGGAAGTGTCACTAGTTGTAGTTTAATAGTTCAGTAGCTAAGAAGTGTTTTATTAATAGCTTAAATCATGTGCTGACCCTTATTTCACATTGAAATGACCAGAGTTTGACACTAAGATGACAGCTGGTTAATACAACTTGAGATTTTAAAGTACTTGAGTGTATGTAAATATTATGACTGATCTCATAAGTGCGCTGGAAGATACTTCAAGGAACGTCGCAGTTCTGACGATTTATTGCAGTCTCCGTTTTTGTTTGAGAATAATATTGCAGAAGATAGTTTATCTGCTGCGTGCAGAGGATATGTAATAATTAGAATGTATAATTGACCACCGTTTAAAAAAGTATACAGTTTGTACTTTTATTACACTACGTTGTAAGAACTAACTGTAAATATATAGCAAATATATAATTCCTGAGTGTGTACGATAAATACATTAACCAGCTTTTGTTTGAGCTAATTCAGTCGTCACAAGGAGACACGGTTGTACTTTGGAACACAGTGAAGTTTCAAAGAAAGTATCAGCTATTGAATTTAAACTACTTAAAGCTTTTAAATCTCTACTAGATGTGTTTTCTAACATGATATGGGCTGTCCAAGTATTGGCAAGACCATCCTTGTTTGAGTTTTGTAGGGTGAGAAAGTGAAAAACACTGAGCTGCAGAATGAAAACATGCTTGAAGGAATCAAAAATGGTGGACTGTAGATTCAAACCTTTTAAAACCCTGACACCCAATGGAAGGGCACTAAATCCATCACCTAGAAAGAAGTAAATTTAGTGGACTTAGTGCCAGACGTTTCTCCAAGTCTTTCCATATATTCAGAAGTGAATGAAATCAGTAGAACTGAAGTGGCACCATTTCCAATGCTGACTCATTGCTTGTAATGCCCTTGATAGTTTGTCATTTCAGGCTATGTCCTCAGACCTGGGAGTGAAATTGTTCTAGGAAATGGCAAGTCACTGGATCAGACCCTTGAGACAAAATGAATATTCAGTATGATGGTACTATACATGCAGATGAATGGAATATAGGTGGATTAAGAAAGTCTGAAAATGTTTTATCAACTTGAAGGCATTCACATTCTTTTTACAAGTGCTGTTCTAATGAGGCAGAGAAGCTGATAAATACTGATGCTGAGTAACTGAACTGAGTTGATAGTACCTCCAACTGAAACTGACTGATTGCAGATTGGATGACATCATTCTTAGCAATGCTTATCTGCCTTGGGGGACTAATGAATGCAGTTTGATAACAGAAGATGTTCATGCAGTGTTTCTGGGAAAATAGATCAACAACTTTGATTTAGCTGATGGCCTTATGTACTTGATGCTACAGTCTGACTGTACTCTCCACAAGTATGGCAAATTATTCATGCTAGATTTCATTGTAGATAAGTACACCTTCTTCCAGCAAGAAAGAAGGGAAACATCTGCACAGGTATTTACATAAGGAACGTGCAGTAAGCGTGAATTGCAGCACAGGTAGATCTCTCTATCTCAAAGGTGTGTTGGTTGAGTTAAGGAGACCACGAGTGATTTAGAAGCGGGCTTGCTGCTGTGGTCAGACCTGCTGTTGGAGAGTGGTGCTTAACGTTTCATTGCCTTCTCTCAGTCTTGACTGAAAAATGCAGTAGGGAGCCCTGGGATGGAGGTGAGGTTTTGTGCTCTGGTGCAATCTGTTCACACAAATAACCAGTCGTAAACCACAGTCGATTTAAGATCTGGTTCATCTTCTCTGCCTGAAGTCTAAACAGGAATTGTTTCTGTATATGTTAAATTATACTTGCAAGTGCTTCAGTCCTACGTGCGTTAACATAAGCAATGGATTCAATAATTCTAACATAGAAATGAATGATGTTGCAGCTGGCATGTAACAACATAGGTTTGCTTTGCAATTACATTTATGTGCAGGGTAGCTGCAGTGTGTCCTGAGAAAGATCCACATTTACAGAAGCTTACACTGGAGGAGTTTGCAAGAGTAGTGATAGTAAACAGTAATAGAAGTCTGTCATAGCCATGGAGTGTGCGTACTTGATGCTTTTAGATTTTTATATTGTTTTCTTGTTAGTGTTCAGAGAACTGCTTTGACTTGGAAGCCAAGTTTCACTGTATGAGAGCAGACAGCTTTCAGGAGCTTTCAGGAAGTTGAAATAGATTTTGGAGCAAAATCTGGTACCCTTAATGAGCAGTTCAGCTGCCTAGTGGGAAGTGAGCCATGTGACAATCCGCAGATAATTTTAAATTAACTTTCTGAGCCTATTTTCAACATGACCTTACCATATCCCACTTCCTTGCCCAACAACCTAAATAAACTAGGAGCATAATTCAGTCAGCAAATAATGGCAGTTGGTTTTAATATTGCATGGATTTTTTTTTTTGTTGCTTAAAAGAGCACACAGGTAGTGTTCGTGGAGTCTAATCTTCCCTGGATCATTTGAAACTGTGTAATTGTAAGAGATTAGTTTCCATTCTGTCCACAACCGTATCCTTTGCAGCAGAACTTGGTGGGTAGAGGGTTGATTATTCATGGTTAACTTATTTGAGATTTATTTATTTATGAAACAGCATGCCTTATGAAAGATTTCAGTAAGGCACCTTGCTTACATGCTGTTTCACGGAAATCACTCCTCCACTGAAAGTGGATCTGGACTGTAACATCGACCTGTGCTATGTTGCTCCTGTGCTACCACTTGGTCTGCATTACCAAGGCACCAAACCTAAGCTAAGGCAACTGCTGAGTGGTAGAGGTTACCAGTGTGAGCTTATTGCCACGACAGTGTGTTTCTTGGTGTTTGGTCAGAGAAATACACCTGGAAGAAGCATGAAGGAAAGTTAGCCAAGACAAACTTGGGTAAACACACCATTTGGGAAGCTTAATTCCTAGGCTGATTTAACATACACACTTTACAGAACTGCAGAGGAAAGAAATAGTAGATGTATCATGTATGCATACTATCTGTGCCAAGCAGACAGGGTAGAAGATAAGCTAGGAAGAGCAGAACTGTTTATTTCAGGAATACTGATCTGTTGGATAAGTTTAATGGCAGAAAAGTGTAACAACCAGGTGTTGAGAAGAATCCAATCACAGTACTGATTTACTACAAATCTTGAGTCATGCTAGTGATTAAAACTCCTAAATTACCTATGTGGAAAAGAGAAAGAAAGAATGGGATGTGCAGTGTAGAGGAACCTAAAACCAGCTGTGTTAGCCAGTGAAAATGCTTGAGAGAGATGCATCTGAAATGGTTAATCTAATAAAGCAGCAGGAAATTGTCTATGGATCTGGTCAGAGTTGTTTCTCTGCTCTCTTGAAAAGTGAAAAAAAACCAGTAGCACTCCCATCTCTCAGACTAGTTATTCTTCTGCCAAATGTATTGCCTGACCAGCATTGGCATACATAAAGAAAAATCATCAGGTTCTTCTTTTGAAGCAGTTTATGCTTTGCACATCTTGAGACAAAATCTTTTTTTTTTTTTTTTTTAAGACAGTACTTTTTACATGTTCAGCCATTTTACCTGTTCTATAAAATGTTTGGTTGTATTAACTTGATACCTTACGTAATTTGCTAAATGTTTCCAAGTATTAATAAATCTGTGTTAAAAAATGATTTTAACTACCTTAAGCAATGAGCTTTGATATTTCTGAAGGTGAATTTAACAGTTATTTTGTGAATTTCATTTTCATCGCCAGCACCTGGCCTCACTGGAGTTATTGGAGGGCGCCCTAGAATGTAAGTTAATTTTTAAAATAAAATCTTGCTTTATTAGTAATTAAATTTAAGTAATTTCTGCATTCCTTGAGCTTTCTGAAATTGTTCAGAAAACTGTTGCTAATTATGGGTAAAAAGCTTTCAATTTTCCAAGTGATTGTGAAGTATGTGAATAATCTGAAGATTTTCATTAATTTGTATTTAAATACATTTGTGATTGCTTTGTGTGCCTAGATCTCCAGTTTTGAAGCCATTTTTCTTCCATTATCCAAAGAGCAATGTCCAGGTAAGACTTAACACTTAAAGCCTGCTCTGTTTCTTTTGGAGTCCCAGAAGAGAAGAACTATATATCCCAGGGGACTTTGTGTTTACAGGGGGGATAAAACTCCTGGCAAGTCACAGACTGTCTCTCTTTTCTCTTCTGCTCTGCCTGGCTAGATTCTCAGCTCAGCACTAGAGTAAGGTTTTCGCTCTTTCTCATTTTATTTGATTTATTGTCTTCTATTCCAATTATATTGTAATCCTAATAATGGTATGAGAGCTTCCTCTCTCATTCAGCAGCTGAGGAAGCAATCAAAGGCCAGAATGTCGTTCTGTGTTGGCCCACAGCACTAAGTGGGGGAAACTGGCTGCCCATGGGCTGGACAGGTATACTGTTCTCTTGGAAAAGAGCTGGATTAAGGGCCGTGCCCAGTTGGTAACAGTTAATAAATAGTTAATGGCTTAAGTCCAGCTGGCAACCTGTTACAAGTGGTGTCCCCCGGAGGTCAGTGCTGGGCCCATCTTGTTTAATATCTTTATCAATGACCTAGATGAGGGCATTCAGTGGGAGGTGGTGTGGATCTGCCTGAGGGCAGGGAGGCCCTGCAGAGGGATCTTGATAAGCTGGATCACTGTGCTGAGGTGAATGGGATGAGGTTCAACAAGGCCAAATGCCGGGTGCTGCACAGCAGCCCCATGCAGCATTATAGGCTTGGGGATGAGTGGCTGGATGACGGTGAAGAGGAAAGGGACCTGGGAGTGTTGGTTGGTGCTCGGCTGAACAGGAGCCGACAGTATGTCCAGGTGGCCAAGAGGGCCAGCGGCATCCTGGCCTGCATTAGGAATGGTGTGGCCAGCAGGAGCAGGGAGGTGAGCATCCCCTGTACTCAGCACTGGTGAGGCTGCACCTGCAGTGCTGTGTTCAGTTTTGGGCCCCTCACTACAAGAAAGACATTGAGACCCTGGAGCGTGTGCAGAGAAGGGCAACGAAACTGGTGAGGGGTTTGGAGCACAAGTCTTATGAGGAATGTTCAGTGTGGAGGAGAGGAGGCTCAGAGGAGACCTCACTGCACTCTACAGCTTCCTGAAGGGAGGCTGTGCTGAGGAGGGGTTTGGCCTCTTCTCCAAGGCAACAAACAGGACCCGAGGAAACGGCCGCAAGTTGTACCTGAGGAGGTTTGGGTTGGACCTGAGGAAGAACTTTTTCTCTCACAGAGTGGTCAGGCATGGAATGGCTGCACAGGGAGGTGGTGGAGTTGCTGTCTCTGGCAGTGATCAAGAGGCGCCTGGATGTGGAGCTGTGAGATACGGCTTAGTGCTTGTGGTAGCAATGGTGACGAGAAAACAGTTGGACTGGATGATCTTATACGTCGTTTCCAACCTTGTGATTCTATGATTCTAAGTACAGTGACAAGCTTCTGTTTCAAGTGAAGAGGGGAAGCATTAAGAGCACAGGCAGCAAGAGAGAAGAAACCCCAAAAACAGTTAACTTAAAGAAACCAGCAGAACTAACAAACAAACTTTGTAAATAAATTACAGTAATCAATTTAGGGATTCAGAAGATTTCCTGAAAGGACTGTTCTGTTTCATTTTTAGACACGTGTTTAGTGCTCAGCACAAATAAGTGTTACGTTTTTCTCAACATCAGTGGAAAAGAATTTAACATTAAATTCTAAGAGGAGATACCACGCAGTTATTGAAACCACACTGACAAACTTTGGATAGTGGAAAAGTATTGCAAAGCCACTTTTTGCTTTGGAAGAAGTTAGAATAGAAACATTCAGTTGGAAGACACCTGCAAAGATCACGTCCATCTGCCTGATCACTTCAGGGATGAAGAGGAGTTAGGGCATATTATTAAGGGCATTAACCAAATGCCTCTTAAACTGATGGTGTGGAATGAACCACCTCTCTAGGAAGCCCATTCCAGTGTTTGATCACCCTCACAGTAAATGAGTTTTTCCTGCTATCTGGTCTGAACCTTCCCTGGTGCAGCTTTGTGATGTTGAAGTACTTACCATTCTTATTGCCACTGACATTTTGCTGTCAGTGGCTGATGGATGGCTTGTCTTTTTTAATATTAAAGTATTGTCTTTATGGAAGTTCAGGCTGCTGCTTTATCAAATCACATGTAAAATTACTAATGAGCACTGTGTTCCAAATGTGGTCAAATACCTGCTAAGATTAAATAGTAATTTCATTTAGCAAGGGAAGACAGCATTGTCTCTTAACAGTACAGAAAATCAAAATGCTTGCTCTGAGGAACTGATCTGGTGAGCAGGCTATTGTAATAATTATTGTAAAGCTCGTAATGATATTCTTTGTCACTGTTGAAATGCAACAAAGGTTATATAAAAGCATGGTCTAAGTGATTCGGTCCCTGTGCCAAAGTTTTAGCCATGTATTAAGAAAGATCTCGATAGAGATTGCAGAGTAAATAAGGTATGAATTCACTTCTTTTCTAGATTGGAATTTCATTTACAAAGAGTCCAGTTGCCATAGAGATAAACCTAGAATTTGATCTAAACCCAAAAATACTACATAAGGAGATTTTCAGATACATTAACATTGCCACAGTGGGTTCTTTTGTTTTGTGTTTGATAACACTTTTCTGGATTTCAGGTTTCAATACCTCATTGGTTATGTGTTGTTTTCAGTGCTCTTACGCAACTGTCCTAATTTTACCATAGGTCACGAGTGGTTTTACAGTGCAAAACTGAGTTATTTTCCACGTATGCTTTTTCATGTTTAACGGGTAACCCAAAACTTGTGCTTGGAGAAAGAATCCTAGCAAGCGTTCTGAAAACAAGAATAATTTTCTCTTTTTTTTTTTTGGTCTTCTCTTTAAATAACCACTGGAGGCCTTTGTTGCCATTTGCTGTTTTCTAAGAAAAATCTTAAGCAGTTGAGAAAAATGATCAAAAAGATTTTATTTAAAATGTTGGAGATGAATATTTAATTAGAAAAAGATATTCACAAGTTGTGCTGGATTTCTTGGCCTAATTTGACAGTTTGGGAATTGTTTTTTTTTCCAGATCAACTTATTTCTAAATGGTCAGTATGTTGAGACATTTGAGGAGGATCTCACGTTTACATCAGATGAGGCTGTTTCCTTTGATCCACCCAAGATTAATGCTGAATTGAAAGGTACGATCATCCTCTACTTGCAGTGTATCATTTCCCATCTTTGTCCAAGAAAATCACGTGCTAAATTTTGTCTAAGAAATTGGTCTTACCTCCTTACACCATGCATTATGAATTCCTTTGCAAAACTCTTAAGCCACTTTTCTTAGGAAGGATGGCGATTAGCATCGGACAGTATTGCATTGCAGTCTAAAACAAGGCTATATCAAATTGCTTTAAAAAAAAACACCATAGCCTTAGGCACACTTGAACTCTGACATGATATTGAAACATGGTTTGAAAGTATATTTCAAGATTATTGTATTAATCCTGGTACAAGTTGGTTTTAATTAAATCAAAGTACTTGCATTCAGAACGGAAGGCAGAAGTACAGAATCCTTAATAATTTGGATAAACAAATTCAGCCGTATTACATTGGGCTTCATGAAATGAATAAGAATGGGACTGACCTGGAGCTAGTAAGTTTTGAAGAAAGGATATTAGAATAATGCTTCTTTATGATCATTTCTATTCCACTTTTCTAATCCGTATGTCTGAAGAAGGAAAGGAAGATACCTGGGTGAACCAGTGAGCTAAGATGAGCAGGTCTGAATGTCCACAGTGAAGTGTTCAGTCTGAGTTGTTCATGGATGCTAGGTATTAGATTAAGGATTATAGAACCTTTTAGGTATTTACAGTTTTTCTTATCCCTTCTAATGACAGAACTGCATGCTGCATTTTGTAACATACAGCCTTCTTCATAGTTTCCTTTCAATCCAGACAGAATCTTCATTGTTATATTTCTGCTCACTAGAGAGATGTGATAATTAATTTAAAGCTGTGGATAGAGCCTTTCAAATCTAAATCAAGTAACTTCAAGTAAAGATTATTTGTTCAAATTATTTCTAAATGTAATACTAGTCCTGAAAGAAAAATTTAGATCTTTGAGTGTGTGTATATACAAAAAAAACTGCATCTTAACATTTTGTACCTTCATATCATCTGAATCTGGATCCAAAATCAGTGAGTGGAATTTCTCAAAACTACTAGTAGAATCTGTAATTGTAAATTATGGAAGATATTCTATACAATGTGGAGAAATTTTCAAATAGATGCGTGGCTATGTGTTTACGTGTTGGAAGTCACTGATACTGAACATCCATCTGCCATGTGTGAATTTGTTTTCTCTGTCCTTTCAGACATCCCTTCAAGGAAATCTTCTTGCATCAAACAGAAATAAATTTTAGTTTTCAGTGTGTTCAGCTCTTGATTATGTCTGTTGCTAATCAAAGCTCATAGCAGAATCTCTTTGATATATGGGAGTTCCAGGGAGGGCAGTGGGGGATTATCATAATCACACTCAGTGAGTTAAGGAATAGAAAATCGTGGTTTCTCTAATAAAGAGGCTAGCAGAGTTACTGATTTATTCATTTATTTACTTTTTAATTTCAACATAACTGCAACAATAAATATTGGAGAAAAAAAAAAAAAAGCAGTTAGGCTTCCTGTTGCTTTCAAATGCCTTCTTGTCATTTGAGAAGACTTTCTGAGGTGCCTGAGATCAGCTTTAAGTACTGAATTCTTCAGGCTTTATTCAGGCAGGACTCTACTTTTGAGGGTCAGCAGATCTCCTCTGTTTTTTTTCCCTGAGAAGGACCTCTAAACTTTTGCCCTTAGTTGTAAATAGAAATGTTTTCTCTATGTGACTAAATGCTTACCTACTTCTGTGACTTAACATATGGACAACATAGATGAGAAATAGATGGATTAGACTGTAAAAGCAGTAAACTCTGCTAAAGCATTTTGTCAGCATTTAGTAAGGAAAGAAGTATTTTTTTCTTGGTTTCATGGTTATCTCAAGTGTGAGGGACTGCTGGTTGTCTTTGAACAGATAAGAGAAATATGCAAAAGTGGATTTCAAAAATTCTGCTAGATGTGGTTCTGGAAGGGTGGAATTTGAATTTACTGTTTGCCCTAGTTTCGAAGAGGATTCTTCCGTAGATTTAAGATGTTTGTTAAATGAAAACAACTTCCTGATAAACAGATCATGAAGGATAAATCAATAAATCAATAGATGAGAACAGCAGAGTGCTGTCTCGAAATGGTTTTGTTTAAATGAAGACTGTCAGAGACTGTCTGAAACGTTGTTGATGAATTCTACATCGTCTATAATTTGAATACTGCCACATTTCAACCTTTGAAAAATATTTTTTCTTTTGGAATTGCAGATCGAATAAAAATTTAAAAAAAGAAAAGAAAAAAAAAAAAAAAGAAAAAAGAAAAGCAGTTTCTGTGCTGTACAAAGTATGGCAGATCTGGCCGAAGTGAGGAATGAACTTTACCTGGGCTCTTTCTGCATCAGAAGAGGATCTCACTTGCTTAATCACAAAAAATATTCCCCAGCTATATAAATATACCCTTTAATATTTTCTGGCAAGTTTTATGACACTGTTTTTCATGGAAGTGAACATAGAAAAGACTGAGCATCAAGCTCAAAACACATCTGCTATGTTAACTCTTCTGTCATGTATTTTCCACACTTCAAGTTCTGTTTATTACCAGTGAAGTATTATTATACTAGACTAACCCATAACTAATTTCTAGATTTTCCTTTAGGATGTGAGTAATGTCCTCTTTTGGTGCAGCTAGATCAGAAAATGTTTGCTGTGGTCAGCCCCAGATTGTTCCCTGCTAATGGTTTCCTCCATTGAAGATTATGTGACATTTGATTTACAAGACCTTCTCTTCAATACAAGTTTGAGTTTTAAACACGTTAGACTGACAATGTGCTCTAGGCTGAATTATTTTTCTAAAAGAAAGGGGAAAAAAAAACAAACCTTTTTTTTTTTTTGTCAATTTTTTTGTCAGTTGTTTGTCAATTGTTTCCTGTGGCTGATGCCACCTGGTGTCACACCAGAAAGCAGGAAAAATGTCACTTCTGTGCCATGAATGTTCCTTTTATTGGGTTCAAGGAGCAGAGAGAGGATATAACCTGCCCACTCATGTGCAGGAAGACAGAAAATCACAGGAAGGGGTTATAGGAAAGGATGAAGGATGGGAATTCTAAATGCAAGGCAGATAGGTGGATAAGTTTGAGATGCTGGCACTGAAGCCAGGGATGCTAGGAGAGCTGATATGTCCGGAGGGAAGTTGGGTTAGAAGCACAATAGGCTGGAAATCACTGGATTCTCTCTGCCTAAAAAAAAATGGATATAAATTGTACTTCAAGTTTAAGTGTTAGGCTTCTGTCACTGGATAACTGAGATGTGGTGGCAAGGTGAGCACTTCATCTCTCCTTCAGAAGAGCAGCTAGCTGGTGGCTGCCTGCTGCTTACTACTGAAGAATTGCAAGAGGTCTGTGATGTATGTCCAAACAATCCAACCTTGTTTATAAACTCCGTGGCTTCAACAGGATTGGACTTCTGGATTTGGGAAGGAGTGGGGCTGCTTTTTTTACTTTTTTTTAATTTATAAGTAGATAAAAATAATATTTATTGTTCTATGGAGTGTAATAGTATTAATGTTCATGAAGACTTGAAAATCCAGTATTCCAGACAAGTTAAAAAACTGACTAGCTTCTGATAGCAAATGCAATTATGACCATGAAATGCCTTTTCCAGATGACACTAAAATATTTGCAAAAAATAACCCTTATAGCAGCATGTAGGAAAGCAAGAGAGATGCAGAGTCTTCAAACAGAGTTTTAAATCTGCTTTCTACGGACAACAAATTATCAGTAAATAAATGTATTTTCTACCCACACTGGAAGCAGAGAAATCTATATGTTAACTGGAAAACAGCTGGTCAAGAAATACCACGTCTGCTAAGCCTCCTTCAGAGGTACTGCACTGCTATGATGAAGATGAATTTTCATATGCAGAGGTGGCAGAACAGGGGACGTGTGGCACAGCATTCAGCTATGTAAAAGTAAAGCTGATTTGCCTTTATAAATACACATCAGGACAGAAACAGTCAATTTTGTGGTTTTGCCCCCACCCTCACAACTTCTTCCCTGGTATCTGTGGTAAGAAAATGTTGACGTTGTTTGTGAGAGTACTACAGACAAACAGGAAGACTGTAAAGACAGTTACTTCTTCAAAATGTACCATTGTGTGTAGCTGTCATTACAGTGCATTCATTTTTACCTTGCACAGATCTGCCAAGTGGCCACCATACCTACCGCCTAGAGGATCTTGCCTATACTAGAAGTGGAGACAAAGGCAACTCTGCAAACATAGGTATTTATCTTTCTTCTCAAGGTGGTTTAAGTCTCTCAGCTAAGAGGCACCAAGTGCTCTCCTTAATTTTTGGGAAATCTCTTAACATAACTTGATCATTTCTTTTATTATTTCTCAAATGAAACAATCCATATGAAACAGTATTTAACTAATGCAGTGTCTGTACGTCAATGTTCAGCAGCTGTTTGAAATCTGAGGTATTAAGAAAAACACTTGAATGTCTTTTAATATAAAGCTTTGTTTACGGTTGCAAAGAGTAAGCACCCCAAAATTAAGAAACATATTTTTAGGGTTTCTTCTGCACATCTGTTATTACTTCTTCGTGTCTGTCTATCATATAATATTATTTAATATTATATATTATATAATATAATTTCTTGGTTGTCTGAAGGTGTGTACTATTTCTGTATGTTAATTTTGTGTCATGTAGATGGCTAAAATATTGTTAGGAAATACCAAAGTTGTTCTTGAAAGTAAGAGAATGTTTTTAATTATATTGTAAATCCAAGTGGTATGTTTCAGTGTGCAGGCTTTACATTGATTATGCTGCTTCTTGTATTGATTAATAATTCCCTCTGTTCCTTACTTCTGCATGCAACAATTGGCTCTCTAACTTGTTCGAAGATGAGAGCGTGTGGTGTTCAAAGCTCAGTATGAATTAAAGGTGCGTTTGGGATTTGATTTGCTAATAGCTGTCGTGCTAAGACTGATGGATTTTGTTTATATTTAAGGAAAAGGTTTTCTTGTCCTTCTTTGTGAAGCTTTTCTTTGTGTTGAAGAGTGAAGAGGTGTTGATTTTTTTTTTTTAATTATTATTATTTTTTTTATTATTATTTTATTTGTTCCATCTGTGGTTGACTATTAATACAATATAGCATTGTCAGGTCATGAATTGTGTGTGCACTGCCAGTGGGCTTCCTCAGATCTAAAGAAACTATTGCTTTGTTAAATGAACAACAAACTACTTATGAGGTGAAATTAATTTTAAGTCCCTACATAAACAGATCTGTGACATGAACCTGCTTTCCTGATCCTGCTGTGGAACATTGGCTTCAGCATAAAGTTACCTGGAGTTTATCAATGCATACTTACAGCAATAAAAAACTGTCATTTCTTGCAGTTAGTGGGCGTTAGAACCAAAAACAAACCCACTACTGATCTGATTATGCTTTGTTAATGGTCAGCTACAATTACTTTTCTAAGTCCTGCACACCCTTTAGGGGAAGATAACTTCATGTATTGTTTCTTTTGCTGTTTTTTTTTGTTTGTTTGTTTGTTTTTGGGGGGGAGGTTGGTATTTTGTTTTTCTTTAGGTGTTTTCCAGTGGCAGGGTCCACTTGCAGCTAGAAGAATGAAATTGTTAATATCATGTACTTCGGTAGCCTTCTTCCATGTCATGCACCACACTGCCTCTCTACTGACAGAGGAAAGGCTGTCCTGCTCCTTTATTCAGGTGTTCATTAAAGAGTATCCATACGTACATTTTCAGTTGAGAGGATGACCTCAAATCAGTTTTGAAAGGATAATTACAAATAGGTTTCAATAGCTCATATTTCAACTATCACTAATTTTACCTAACAGGTGTCATAGCACGGCATCCTTTGTATTATCCATATCTAAAGAAAACTTTAACTGCTCAAGCCTTGGAGAACTACTTTGAACACCTTTTAGAGCGAGAAAAACCTGAAGAAGAGCTGGTATCAAGGTGAGTAGTAAGGAACTTGTGCAGGACAGTTGTATGACAGATTTGTGATGGTGTCAGAAGGTATTTTAAACTAAATTGAGTATTGCAGACCTATCTGTATTCAACTTTTTTTTTCTTTAATGTATCTTTCTTTGCATTTTTAAGTAAAAACTTGTTGCACTGCATTTTTTGTTTTGTTCTAATGAAGAATGTCTACAAAACAGTAATAACTTGTAGTCTGATTTTGAGAAACATATTCCTAGTCTTGAAACTGCAGGAGCTTTAGTAACTGAAGCTTCCCAAGCATCCAAGTCACTACATGACGAGGAATTGGAAATCCCTGGCAAATGAGACATCCTGTTCTTGCAGAGTGAGGAAGTAGTGCTCATTCTCCTGAGTGTGCCCAGTAAAGCAGATAAGAGGTTTTAAGCCTGCTGTGTCTCACTAAAAACAAGTGCTTTGATACTGCAACAAACTCTTTACCCTTCTAGAACCTGTTTTGATATAACATTATTTGTTCTACCACAATGGACATTTTGCCAAAATCTTTACATCTTTTTGTGGCTGCCAAGAAATAAGTGTCTTTTTGCTTGGTCAAAGAGCATGAGTCAGAAAGGTGCAGCTCAAAGCCCAGAGAACTTGGAGCTATTTTAACTCCTGGTCTTTGAGTATCATGATGAACTGATCTACGCAGTACCCACCGTTTCCTAAGTGTTAGCAAATCTACAGATCTAAGAAATTCTAATATCTAGAAAGTAAATACATTTCCTCTCAAACAGACCAGAGAAAGGGGGGAAAAAATATAAAATGTCAGGCCTTCTAATGATACCTATAGAAATGGATTCATTGTGGTTCCTTAACGGTGTTTATGTTCATACATAAAAGTTCCAATTTGCTGTGTCTGGGTAAAGCCAATTAAATTTGATTAATTAGATTATCTGTTCCTGGGTTTGGTTTCTTTTAATGATGTGATAGTGGAGCTATTTGAGACAACTGAAAAAACTCTGTGGGAAAAAGAATAGATCCATATGTGGAACTCTTTAGGATTATTATTATGCTTGTGTGCTTCAGATTGCTGTTGAATTACTCATTTATTTTTAGATTTTACTGTCATAAGAAAGGCTGTCTTATTTTCCTTCATTTTAAATGTGAGTTGTTAAGCAATAGACATTATTTTTGCTATTAAAAACATACCAACTGTGGTTCTGCTTCAATACGGAACAGAGATTGTCAGCTGGTTGCTTTTAATTCTTTCTCCTTAAGGCTAATGAAATAAACAAAAAATGATGGGATTATTCTCAATAGAGAGCGTTGTAAACTCATAAGCTTGCAGAATGTAGGCAACACAGCAGCAAAAGATTCCTTAGATGAGAGCTGGGATTGTACTGCATTGCGTTGCATTGTGTGCCCCCCAGCTCCCCTGGGTTGGCCCTGCCTCCCCACCAGGTGCTCAACCACTGGTTCAAAAAGTGACTTAGCATTTCTGCTGCAACATCTTTCAGTATTATTTCTGCAGTTACCTATTTCTATAACAGAGAATTGCATTTCTATTAGAACTGTATCCATGAGGGCATTTTTTTTAAGGATTTCTTGCTGTGAAGAACTGAGGAACAAAACACTGAATTTTTGGCAGATAGCAAAACTTTTAAATTGCTTTTGCATATACATTTATTATGGGGAAAAAAACAGACTCATGTACCTCTCTACAATGTGTTTTATTGCAGACATCTCTTTTAGCAGCTGCTTTCCCTTGACAGGAAGAATGCTGTCTTTTCCTTGATACCAACGCGATAAACAAATTTTATAACGTTATTATTTCCATACGTTTCTAACAGGAAATTTACAGGGAAACCTGGCTTCTTTGAACAGGTATGGACAGCACTTTAAGGAAGTAGTTAAGGAGGCACCCCATTGTGCATAAGCATAGGAGTTGAGCTACAGCAGTGAATTTTCCTTCTTTCATTGGTTTCCATCACAGCCTTAATATTCTTTGAAGAGTCTATTTGTTTTCTGCACTTTTAAAAGCAGCTCTTAAGCATGACCTAGTGCAGTTCAATCAAAAGTCATTCTTACTTTAGATCTCAGTTTAACATAAATTGTTTAATTGTGCTGGTCAAATGCATGACAACATGTAATTCATATATTGTTGCAGCTTAAGACTGCTATGATGGTTCTGCTAAAGTGTTTTATTTTTGTGTAGGAGTGTATTTTTTGTGCAGAAAGATTTAGGATGTTCAGATGCTTTGGATAGGTCTGAACGTATTGAAAATGCTGCCTCTGAATATTGCTTCTGTAAATCTAGTTCTAGCTAGAACATCTTACTCTAAATAGTTATTGAAGATGTGTGAAGCTAACGTGCTTCTCTTTGATGTTCTAAATTAAGATCCACAGCTCACATTGCGTGCTTCCAGAATTGTTGAGGAGGGTGAAATTTAAAGTGTTCCACTCCTCGTTTGCTTGTTGCTGTCCAGGTTCTCTCCTGATTATTTGAATGGCTGATTTTCGTGAAGCTTCTTTGAGGAGCTAAGGTCTTAGCTTCTAAACACGTGTTCCATTATTCTGATTCTGATGCAGAGATCTACCAGTGGTGAAATTGTTTCTTACCTGGAAGTTTTGGGAGATTTCATTTAGGGTAAAGCTTGCAGTGTGGCGTATTGATGGACATGGTATGTGGTCACTTGGAATTTGCAGAGTTTGCAAAATAAAAAATTGGAAATGTGGTGAGGTTCTCTAATCCTTGCTGATTACATTATTAGTCAGTTACATAGATGACATTTCTTAAATTACTTTATTCTACTCATTCCTGTCGAATGCTGAATAGTATCAACAGCAGCCCTCATTTTTACAATGCTGAAAGGGACTGGAGAAGATAAACCTCAACCACAGAAGAGTACTGCAAGAAATTCCAGCTTTTTTAGAGAACAGATTTGAAGAATTTGTTGCAAACAGATGAAGATCAGATAAATGACTAAAGAGAAACAGGCAATGCTGGAGGAAATGTGATTTAAACTGTAGCAGTGAAACATCTGGAGACACAGCAAGAGCTGAATAAGGTCTTTTTCAGTTATTCCTTGTGTCTTGCTGATGTTGTGATGAAATTCTTTCCTAAAAGGGAAGGAAAAAAAAAAAAAAAAGGAAAGCCATCAAGTCCTTAGATAAAGGAAGCAATGGAGGAAAACAAAAAACCAAGGAGCACTGGAAGAGCACACAGAAGGAGACAAAGCACTGGAAAACTATGGAATGGCAAATGGAAATATGCTATAGACCTATTTATGGAATTTGAAATAGCTTTGCTAGGAAATCATGAAGCCATTTGCCAGACTTCCAGAAAAGTTTCCAAATTGGAAATGCAGCAGCCAAAAGCAAGGGTGAAAAAAAGCATACAGTGGCAGTGGAACAGGAATATGGGTCTGTCATACTAAAATAAAATTGTTTTATCTTAACGAAGCACGTGGCTCCAGTGAAGTGTTGAAATGTAGCTTTACTTGTAATTTATTAAAAATTCTCCATAGTTGCAAGAGTTTGAGCTAGTGAGTCATGGTTATTTCTCAGTAATAGTGAGCATGACTTCCAAATCAGCTGGCAGACAGTGTCAGCAAAAGTGAGTTCTGGGGATTATGTGATTATTTTTTTCAGTATCAGAACTAGGAAATATTAAAAATACTTCCCTCTGTCTGTTGTGTTTTCTTAAATCACACTGGATTTGAAATAAATGCCTATAGAGCTTTCTAAATGGCTGGAGTGATGGAAATGAGAAAAGTGGCTTATTAGCAATTTATGAATTTTGACATTGAATAGGAGGAGAATTATACTTTATGATCCTCCTTTAGAACTATTAAGGGCTGACAAGTGGGTGAAGGGTGAGAAATAAGAAAGTAGGAAAGGTTAACCTTCAGTTTAACTCCTAGGCTTGATTGACCAGTAGAGGTTGCTGTCAGAAGCACGTTGATTTCTGCACAGTCTTTTGCTTCTGTTCTGTAAATGACAAAAATGAGTTTTTGTCCAAAATCTCTGGTGGAGAGGTGTAACAACAAGAATGTGTATTTTATCTTACAGATATGAATTGCCAGGAATCCATGCATTAAATTTTGTTTTGAGGAATTCCCTTGGTGGTGGTGGTGTAGCATCCCTAAGGAGTGACCCACAGGCATGTATTGATTTAATGCATTTATCTTTTGTAACTGAATATTCCACTGTTTTCCCAGTAATTTGTTGTTAGCTGTGGGACTGTTCACAGAGTAGGATGATGCTAGGTATGAATTGGGTAGCAGAGCTGAACTCAAGTTTATTTTATCAGTAGGTAACAAATACAACAAACTACTCAATCTGTTTAGGAGTAAATGTTTTTTCATCCTTGACTACATTAATTCACAAGTGAGGCAATTAAATGAAAGAGAGCAATATTAATTATGGAAAAGTACAATTCGAGTAAACCTATGATCCAGATCTTGATTGAAAACTCACCTGAAATCTCTAAGGATATATAGTGATACACATTAAACATACTGACCGTGCTCAATTTTTACACTGACAATAAAACTTATACTGATTAAAGATATATATATATATCCATATTATACAGTTTTAATTTACAAAGACTGTATATTTAGATAGTAAGTGGTTGTTGTTTTTTTTTCCTTACAGGGCAAAGCACTTGGGCAGATGCTGCTGGATTTCCAGATTAAAAATGTTCCTGATTTAAAATCATTGATAGAGTAACAGGTGCTTGATACATACGTTTTTGTAACACTTTTGAGTAATATAAAAATGTCATAAGGAAGAAGTTTTTGAGTCACAGAATCACAGAATGGATGGGGTTGGAAGGGACCCCAAGGATCATGAATCTCCACCCCCCCCTGCCACATGCAGGGCCACCAACCTTCACATTTATTGCCAGCCCAGGCTGCCTAAGGCCCCATCCAACCTGGCCTTGAACACCTCCAGGGATGGACAGGGCATCCACAGCCTCTCTGGGCAGCTGTTCCAGCACCTCACCACTCTCTCTGTAAAGAAGTTCCCCCTGACATCCAACCTCAATCTTCCCTCCCTCTTAAAACCATTTCCCCTTGTCCTGCTGTTATGTAACCTTTCCAAGAGTCAGACTTAAAAGTCACCGCAGAAAATCAGCGACAGTTCTCTCTCAGAGGCTTTGCTATATGGTACAAATTAATAACTGCTTTGAGTCATGCCAGACTTACAGCTCCGTCTGTGACTAATAACATTTGATGGAGAATTAATTTATTTCCTGTAAAATAGAATTAAACAAATTGCAACGTAACATTTAATTATGAGACAAGATACAGTCTTTGTTCCAAGATGAAAATTACCTCCTGTTCCATTCATCTCTTTTCCTTCTCTAAATCTTTATTTGAAAATTAAATAGACCAGTATAGTTGAGCTCCTGTCAGCAGTCTTTGTCCTGTGTGTAGAGTGAAGCTAGACAACCTGCTGTGCATCACCATGAAGTTAGCACTGCCTGGCACTGGAGAACAGCTTTCCCTAATGGGCCGTGAAGAAGTTTAGTAATTGTTACTACTGTGTAGCAACCAGTAGTAAATGCAGCCCTTTGGTGGTGATCCATCAACTTTCCAGCTCTTTGTCCAATTAATGACAGATTTATCTATTACTTCCAGCATCTTTCTAATGAATGGCTTAGGTTGGAAGGGACCTTGAAGATCCTCGAGCTCCAGCCTCCCTGCCAAGTCCATCTATCAGTTGAAAAGGACTAACCAATGAAGTGCTCTCTTGTCTCTGTCCCGACTCCAGTTATCCCCTCTGCATTTCCCTTTCCCCATCCACCCTTTTCCCCTGCTGCAATATATTACTAGTCTATCCAAATTAGGGTACTGAGAACTTTTTCACTTGATTAAGCGGAGGCCCCCAAGATCTGTGTCAGTTCCTGTGGCACTGTCAGGATAGAAATTCTGGCCCAAAAATTAGCTCTGTTTCTTCTGCAGAAGCCATGCAAATATTACTGTGCACATTCCAACATTTCAGAAATGAATCTTCCCTTTTATTTTGGGAAGACTGTACTAATAGTATAAGAAAAATGATGAAAATAAGTATTTGATGAACTTCACTGAACTGCTTTCCTAAATCTCACACTGTGCTACCATTATTACTAATTTCCTAGCCCCCTTGCTTGCTAATGAGGATTATACAACAAATTGTTCCCCCCTTTTCTGTGGCTTTAACTTGAAGTTATAAGCAAGAGCTTTATCCATCTCAACACATTAGCCAGCTGTAGATGCTACCTGTGTAACACAGTTCATGGAAGGTGTTCTGAGAAATGGATCATTACTTCATTGCAGAAGAGCGTGCAACTTCATATGTTTCTGCTGATTTTCATGTTTACATTCATTGCTCATTTAGAAAACTGTTGTTAATAATCTGGAAGCCTTTTACCCCAGCAAAATACACAAACGTATTGAGAGGAAATAAAAAATAAAAAGCTGATAGACCTCAGTAGCAAACCTGCGGAGATGAGAAAGGCAATGGTGAATATGTGCAGTTTATTCAGTGTGCTGCTTAAGTGACTGTAAATGTGTACGCAGCTATTTTGGAATTAAAGTATACATTTCTAAGTATAAATTTGTTGGAGTCATTTTAAGTTGCTGCTGCTTCTGGAAAACTGCGATACTTATTTCAGAGGTTCTTAAAACTCTTTGCTTTGGGTTGTTTCACTTACCTGCGGTTTCATGCTTTGTCTTGTTGGTTCCCCTCTTCCATCAGAGTTTGTCTTCTCTGTGCTTTGCCTTTGTTTGATACAAAAATGGAACGAGCAAATCACAGAATGACAAAACGATGCACTTCTGTGGAGTTTGGCACTTGGAGCTCTCCAGAGGAGGCTGTAATTTGCTTAAAAGAACTCTTCAAAGGGACTGGATATGGGAGTACAAAGGGGTTATTTTGTACCTCTGGAATTACCTCGTTTGGATGCATCCCTCACAAATGCATTTTCTGTGCGTTATGTCTCAGTGTAAAGCACATGGCATTGCCCATCGGGTGCTTTCCTTGCAGAAGATACTCTCAGAAATCTCTGTCCAAAGATTTTATCCTCCTTAACGTGTTCTGAATTCATGAACTTGTTTTTGTTCCAGCAATCACAGCTGACCTGAAAGCTTGTTAAAGCTGCATTTGGTTTTTAATCTGTGAGCGTGTGTGCCGTTAGCATTGGCTTAACTTCAGTTACCAAATACATTCTGCAAAGCAGGGCTGTTCCTTATGTAGGCAAGAACTTGCACTTCCAACTGCCTTTCTTTCCTGCCCCTTCCCGTATGTTAGCTGTGAGGGCAGGATGGGAACAGCACTGACTCAAACCCTAAAAGTAAGGACCCATCTAACGTGCTGGGTTTTCAGTGTAATGGAAGCTGGCTGACACCTCTTACCTGGGAATTTTTTGTGCTGTGGCTCATCTGCAATACAAAACAGAGGCTGCATTCTTTCACCTCCTTCAGCTTTATTACTGCATCTCTTGTAGCTCTCAAAAGCAGATCATGGGGTCTGCCATGAAATAATTATGCCGTAGCAGGTAACAATCCAAACAAGTACTTCATTTGCTGCATCATATTTAATATTTCAAAGTGATCTTGCCAGCTTTGGGGCAATTTAATCTATTAAAGTTCTAAAAGTTATTACATGAAAGTAATCCAGGAAGATGGGAAATAAGTTATTGGAGGCTTAATTTGAGGCACAAAGTAAGCCTTCATTTTAGCCATCTCTGACGAAAAGATTTTCGTTCTTTCTTTTCCCATTTGAGCAGAGGGAAAAATAATTACATACCAAAATTTTGTTTTGCACGGTGGCAGTTTGAAAAAGATGGCCGACTGTATTGATGGCCTGCAGATTTGCCGTTCCAAATTCTGAAGAGTTGATTTCAGAGATGAGTGTGGTGTTGTACTGAGTGTTTTGCTCACAGCAGTTTCAAGGTATTATTATCAGGGCGGTTTTCACTTGCTGCCACCACGTATGTGAGTTGTGTGTGGATTGAAGCCGTTCCACACATCTGCCATCTGTGCGATGCCTTCTGTGCTTGTTCCTTTGGGGCTTCAGACTCTGAAATTGAGTGGTTTCAGGGGGAGGGAGAGACGAAGCTTGTTAGTGCTTTGGTATGAGGGGATGAGGAAGTGACCGCTGCATAATGGCACACCTGTCACCTTAATTCCTTTGAAACCCTTCCCTGTAGCAAGGCTTTGAGTCTCTTGATGATTCTTCTTCAGTTTCATCCTGACTTGAAATGGGGATTTGGGGGATTAAAGCTCGTGGATATTAAGAAGGCAGACAAAGGATGTCTCCAAGTAAAAGATCTAGTTAGGAAATGTCTGTTTCTGCCAGGGAGTTCAGCTGAATTTCCTCTCTCTTGTGCTGGGTGGGAGAGAGATCTGAACTGTAGCTCTGAAGCTACTGTAGCTCTTCCTTCAACAGAGATCATGCAGGCACTCCTTTGGCCGTTCTGGGAGGAGGGAGCCTTGAGACAGTGGGGCTGGATGGAGGGAGCCTCAAGGTGGAACATTTATGCTTTCAGGAGGGACAGATGAATGATTCTGTGCCAGGACTTAAAGTGGAGTTTCTGAAAACCTGTGGCTGTGTCACAGTGCTGCGTGCCTGGACCAGCCCCTATGGCCATCACCAAGTGGCTGAGGCTCTTTATCGTGATATTAGTGTTTTTAACCTGGGCCCTTTCTCCAGTCCCTTAAAAATGTGCCAGTTAAGAGGGCATAAAGCGCCTTGCCCATGTTTTCATTTACTAATAGGCATGAGCAAAAGCATCAACCCTTCTGGGTGTATTGAAACATCTGGATTTGAAAGATTTGAAAGAATTATGTGACTGGTGGCTAATCCACTGGTTCACACCAGCACCATGAGCTGCATCTACAAGGTATTTCCTCCTTTGTAACTGACCGGAGAGAGCTAAGCCTTTGTTGCGTAAAAGTTTGGCTGAAACTCTTCAAAGAAAATCCCAAATGCCTGATCGCGTTGGCAAGCAGTGCTGGAGCTCTGGTCTGTGCTCGGAGGCTGAAGGAGGATCCTGTGGTTGTCTCTGCAAGTTGTCTCTGCAAGTGGACCCATGACAAACATGGGTCCCTCAGGAAGCTCTCTGCTGACGGCAGCTCTCATAACGTGTTGGCGTCACCGAGGAGTGGTGGAAAAACTGCTTTGTGTCAGCGATAAGCCTGATAGTTCTTGTATGCAGGAACCTCCCTGGAACAGTTCTTGTATGCGGGAACCTCCCTTGAACCTTGGCTCAGCACGTGTCATGGTAGGCCTTGCCCTTCGGACCACAGCTGTTCGGCAGTGGAAAGCATAGGGAGCTCTTTCCTTTCTCCTGGAGCAACCAAAGGAGTCCCACAGCTTGAGGGTCTTCGGGGCTTCCTGCGCACGGTCTGCAGGCTCTCGGGTTGAAAGTAATTTTATAGGAGAAATAATTTGCTGTTTCACATCTGTTTGCCTGTGGCGAGGTGCCAAAGGGTTACGCAGCTGCCCTTGTACTTGGCTGTGTGGCAACCACCACCGTGCACACAACCTGCAGGAAGAGCCACTGGGAAGGTAATGACTTCAGACAGAACCCGGCGTTGAGGGCAGACGTTCCAACGACCTGCCTCCTATTCCCCATCGCCTCGCGTGCACAGAGGCGAAAGCGACCGCACAAAGGCGGCGGGCAGGGAGCTGCTGCTCGACATGTGCCAGGTGCCACGAATGCCGGCCCCATCCATCATCCCGCAGCCCCGGGGACGGGAAGCGGCTCGGCCACCGAACCCTTAGACGGGTCGGCTTTGTCGGCCGCTCTTTCATAGGCTTCGTTGCCGCGATTTATCTATTTACATAATGGATTAGCACGAAGCAAAACGCACGGCGACGCCCCTTCTCCTCTTCCCGTTCTTTCCGAGCCGGATCGTGACGGGAACTCGCTCCTCCGTGCCGGTCCCGTCTCGGACAGAGCCCGGCGGGCGGCATTCCCCGCCGGAGCGGGGCGGGCGCTCCCCGCACGCAGCCGGGGGCCGTCCCGCGTGCCCGCCCCGCCCCGGCCGGCCGCCTAGAAAAGCGGGGCCGTTTGGCGGCGCCCCGCTTTCCTCCCGTCCTCGGCCCGGCCGGCCATGAAGAACGCGGTGCCGCAGGCGGCCTCGCTGCTGCTGGAGAAGCTGCTGCTCCTCGTCCACGTCCGGGCGCTGCCGGCGGGAGCGGAGGGCGGGGAGCCGCCGCCGGCCGCCTCCGGCTACTACGACACGAGCTGCTTCAGGCGGGGCGACCTGCTGGAGGTGCCGCGCACCCTCTTCGTCCACTTCGGCATCTACCTGGGCGAGAACCGCGTCGCCCACCTGATGCCCGACATCCTGCCCGCCTTCACCGACGACCGCCGGCAGATCCAGCGCGTGGTGACCAACAAGCGGCTCATCCTGGGCGTCATCACCAAGACGGCCAGCATCCGCGTGGACACGGTGGAGGACTTCGCGTACGGCGGCAGCATCCTGGTCAACCACATGGACCGGCTGTTCAAGGACCAGGTGCTGGGCAGCGAGGAGGCCGCCCGCCGTGCGGAGAAGCTGGTGGGTGCCACGGCCTACAGCCTGCTCTGGAACAACTGCGAGCACTTCGTCACCTACTGCCGCTACGGAGCTGCGGTCAGCTTCCAGACCGACAAGGTACGGCCCCCGGGGAGGGGCGGCAGGGCGTCCCCGGAGGGAGTCCCCGGCTCCCGAAGGCAGAAGCGCCGCGGAGAGCTGGCGGGCCGCGGCCGGGCTGCCCCACGTTGCTCCGGCGCCGGGCTGCGGGACAGGAGGCTGGCTGGGAGCTCAGCTCCCACTCGCTGCGTTAGCCAAAGCTCCCGCGGTGACGGAGCGGCAGGCTGCGTTCTCTCAGGCAGCGCGTGAGCGCTGTGGCACCGGCAGCCCGTCCGTACCGGAGAAAGCAGCGATCCCAGCTGTCATCTCGACACTTTCCTCCTTAACCCTGACGTTTTTCCTTTGTTTTCCTTTTTTTCTTTCCTTGCAGTTCTGTGAGACTGTCAAGATGATAATTCGTGACCAGAGGAGCGTTCTTGCTTCGGTGCTCGTGGGTTTAGCGTCCATCATCTGCCTGGGTCTGGCACCCTCCACCGCCCTCCCCACGATCTTCATTACCTTCGTTCTGTGGATGGCTGGCTAACAGCCCGCCTGCGGCTGTTTGTATATAGGATGTACACTACTGTATTTATGAGGGCACAAATTACTTGCTGGCGTTGTGTAAAGTTACTTAAGCTTGTGTGCTGCTTTTAAATGCGACTCTGTCTAGAACACAGTGCACAAGGTATAGCTTACTATGTAAGCTGAGTGATAGATTTCCTGAAAATCTCAATACTTTCTCACACACCTTTAAAGTAATGAAAAAGTAGGGGTGCGATGCAGTTCTGCTGCGTGCCTTTAGCTTCAAGTGATTCTGCTCGTGCCCTTCATGTTCTTTTATCTCCTAGCTGTGTGCCTGGGTGCTACAGCTATTAATAAAAGTAGATGATGGAGTACCACACAGCGATGGGCATTCAGAATTACTTACCTCTTACTTTGGTAGATCTTGTTAATGTTCAGGAGTTACTGGCTCCGTTCCTGACATGTCCTTTTGTGAAGATGCAGTTAGGTAAGCTGACTATTTTTGATAGCCAAGAAAAAGAAAAGGTGGGGGGACAAGGGCCTTGCCTGGGTGCAGTGCTGCCGTAGCACATCTGTCCACATTGGCATTGAGTTCCCTCCTGGGAAATGGTCACAGGTCTCTCATTTGTATCAATTGCATAAACAGCAAAAAAATGCATAATTAGCAATTTTCTCATTGGGTTGGTGGTTCAGAAAGCCTGTGATTCGTCAGCATGTTCCTTGCTGCTGGTAGTGGAGGGCATGGCTAATGAAAGTGGCTGCAGAGAGCTTCTAGGCAGTACAGGAGGCAAACAGTTTGCTTTCTGAAAGCTTGTGACATGCAGATGCTGTGGGTTTCTAGTCTTGCAGGGCACATGGCATGGAGGGGGAGGAAAATGAATGCACATTTATTTAGTTCTTTCTTTCCCACAGTAATTAGAGCTACGTGGGTGCTGTAAAGTATCAGGGCTCATTGGTGTGGTTCCTGTAGCCTCTGTGAAGGAAGATGTCTTTCTGTACTCATCTCTTGCAAATAAGTATTCAGTGGCAAACCAGCTAAAAATGTTCCATCTCCAATGTTGCATCCTTTCTGCTTATCAAGACTGTAGAGCTGGATTTGAAATCATGTTATCTTGCCAATGATTTCAGTACTAGAAGATACTCCTTTTTGCTTATTTTTTTCTCCTCAGCAGTGTCTTTAATGTATGCAGAGATATTGTTCAGCTTCTGGAATGTCTTGCTCTACATGCACTTACATGTCCATGCTGTGTGCTTGCCTCCCTTTCTAGTCCAAGGCAAACACAACGATGTCTTTACCAAGGATGCAACCTCAGACTTGCTCCTTTCTGAGTGGTGTTCAGTATCCTGATCAGCTATGCTACTGGAAGGTGCCATTTTTTTCCCCAGTTTTTCATTAAGACTTCGTTTAGCTACATTGTAAACCCCTTTCTCCCTCCCTAAACCTCAGGGCTGTTTGAAAATTGGATTCTTGAACTGTGAGCCTAATTGGCTGCTCTCTAATCATCTTTCTTCTGCTGCTTCACTATAACTGACCAAGAATGCAAAGACTAGAGTGAAATTCCAGCCTCAGAAACAACAGCACTCTAAGAAACAACAGCACTATTGCTGCTGTCATCAACTGAGCAGGGATTTAGCATAGCTTTCAGTACACTTCGCCAAAGGAGTTGCATATCAATTACTGTTGAGTCCTTGCAAACAGCTTCTGTTCTGCTTTCAGAAACCGAGGTGCTCCACATAACTGGGTTTGGTAAACTTTTCAAGTTAAGGTGTTTTTATAATTAATGTGAATTGCTTTTTCGTAGAGTTTGTGTTATTTGCATAAATTCCAATGAGTTTTTTTATTTGCTGTGCGTAAGGTAATGAACTGTAGTCACCAGTCACTATTGTAACTATATAAAAAGAATTTATTCATTTGAAAATGTCTACTGGCCTCTTGATATGGAGTGTAATGTCATAGCACTTCTCTGATGTGTCCCATTAGGGCACTGAATGGGCCATTAACACGCACTTACATAGTGTTTGATTACAGGTGGGCTTTTCTTTCACCCTTTATTTACATGGGATTTATAAGAATTCCAGTAATCCTTATGATTCGCTTATACAATAAACAGAGGGGTCATGAACCAAATCAAAAGCAGGATTGTCGGAAGGTGGAGAAACATCCTGCTCTAGATTCTGTATCAAAGGGCCAATGCTCTGCCTTGTTGATGGTGTTGAACAAGGAACACCCAGATTAACTCACGGCACTGCGCTAGGATTCTGATAGGCATCTGTATGGAAGAAATGGAACCAGCTTCTTGCAGATATCTAATGTTAGTATTGGAGATTTCCCTCAAATTGTAGAGTTTCAAGAAGCTTACAGAATACTATGAAGTAGTGCAGACTATGGCTGTATCCTTACATCAGGGACAAGTAACAGCGTGGGTGAAGGAAGAGAAATCCAGCTGCGTGGTGAGGAGTTTTTCCTACTGATGGTAATTCTAGCAGAGATGCAGAGATTTTGTGAAAGTCAGGCACAAGTCAGATAAGTCATTCACTATGGGAAAAATAAAACTACCAGGCATGAATTCTCATGTTCAGCTCGGCAGGTGGTGGTTATGCAGTCAAACATTTTGTTAAATGTCAACGTAAACTTTTTTCTGTAATGACTCAAGTAAAAATAAGCACTTGCCCTAGGTTAAGCCTTGCGTTTCAGCCTTGAGCTCAGCCACAGCGCTGCTGAAATGAAGGAGCTGGCTGTAAAAGAAAAACACTGAATGCTGCGGAGCAGTTCATCTGTTGGGTAGTGCGTTTAGAAGTGACGTTGTTCACTGATGGCTGTTAAGTGGTGGTGACAAGGAGCGTAAATTTAGAGCTGCGGGTCATTTTAGTGGTGGGGCTGTTCTGGGAAACTGTGTGGTTAAACGTGAATGTGTAATGGAGGAGTGTAACCACTGCCCTGCGCCGCTGGGAAAGGCACGTAGTGAGGACATCAAGTGAGAAGGAGAGATGTTTCACTTTGGCCTTTCCAAGGAAAACAAAAATTAAATGAGCATTCACGAGGCTCAAGATGTTTTTACAAAAGCCGTGTTTAAAGCAAGGAAAAAGGTTCGTAAATGAAGGCATTAGAACACTGAGTTTTCTGTCTGTATTTATTTTAGCTCGGAACATAACTGATTACTCATTCTGTGGGTGAGTAGTCATCTGTCGCTTGATTTCACCTTTGGGTCCTCCTGTGCTGAAGGCAAACGCTATGTACACCACTGAGGCTTTTAATGAAAACAAAGTCAGCATTACTTGTTAAAGTCTGAGGGGCTGGGGAAGAGGGAATTAAACTTGTGTGTGACTTGACGTCATCCAGACAGGCTTTAGAAAGCAAGCTGCAGCTACAAGAAACACTGGTTCTGTGATCTCTACAAGTGATACGGTGCTGTATTTCTTGCTGCGTGTTCTCATATTAAAGTCACGTGCCACTGAATGATACAGAACTGCGTTAGACACTCATTAATTAGCATCACCTTTTTCCATTGAAATGAAAAAAGTTATGGGGCGACTCTTGGAGCCATTGACCCTGGCTTTGAAATAATAGCTCGATCCCTGGAAGCACAATTGTCCTGAATGGGCTGACTGCTCTGAAATGAAGATGCTACAGCTTGCTGGTTGGAGGCCCTTTACTGCAGTGTATTGCTCTTTCCTGTAAGCCTCATGGAAATCTTTCAGGATTCTGTGCTTATAAAGCAGAACGTGTCCTCTACTGTAGGAATATAAAGTAGTTGAGGGCTGGTTTTTGGAAAATTTTCTTAACACTCAGTTCTCTGTTGTATATTGTGGCATAGCTTCACTTCTGAAGTCACAGGAGCACTTAGGGTATGAACCTGAGAACACAGAGACTGTGGGAAAGCGTGGGGCAATCCTTACGATTCTTAAATCATAGTTACACTGATTGGAATACAGCTGTTCTCTGTGGCAAAACTGATTTATGTTTTGCTTCTGTCTCACAAGGTGGAAGACTTTTTGTGAGGTGAGGAGTAACTAGCTTTACTATTATTATTATTATTAATTTTATTTTTTTGTATCCCATAGGCAAATGTATTCTGTGACTTTCTTTCATTGATTTAGCCCAGCCAGAGTTTTAAGGTATAGGTGTCTTTGCCCATTTGTTACACAAACTCTTAGGTTCCTTCCTGACTGAGCAGTGCTGGAGTGGAAACAGCAATACGTTATAAAGTTTGCCAAAATGTGATAGCTGCAGCTTTTCTGGAGGGGGGGCCTTTTCCCAGCACCTTCTCAGACTGGCTCCAGCAGATTCACCAGACTCTGGATATGGCTGAGAGGTGGCCACCCTTCACCCTTTTCTAATTTATCTCATAACTGGGACAGTTGAAGATTGAGTTATTTTTATCAAATTGGGCAGCACCTCTGGCTCCAAGTTCGAAGAAGGAAATGGCTCCCTCAATCCACTGTGAGCTGCATCAGGTTGTGTTGGGACCCTATGTATTTTAGCACTGCTGAGAAAGCTGTTCTTCTCGTGGTCCGTGGATGCTAGTGAGGCTGTGAGTGGGAAGCACATCCCAAGGCTTGATCAGGAATTAGAAAGACTAAGATTGGGATGTTCCTGACTTCAACAATTGCAGCCATTCAGGAAACTTTCAGGTAGAAAGAAGGAAGACGCCTTCAGGTAAGAACAAATGTTGGCCACTTTGGTGTAGCATTCCTTTTGTATTCGGATACCTGCTGTACCTAACTATTGCCTTTAGTTTCTTCTTCTAATTCTCCCTTAGCTTTTTTTTCCACAAAAATCTTTCCTGTGTCTGCACCTGGGAGAATAAACGTCTTCCTGTCTTCTTGCCTACTGCAAGACTTGGTTAACTTGCATAAGATTGTGTGTTTCTTACATAGAACATAGCAGATAAATGAGATGCACAGTTCCTTACCAGAAGGCAACTTCATTCCCTGTGAAACCTGAGTTTTCTGTGAGGCTAAGAAGATACACTGCTTCATATAATTAAGAATTACAAGCAAATTAAGGGTTAGCTCTGCTAAACTTGTCAAGCTTCCTAATGCTCTGCATAGTCTCAGACCTGACTCAGACTCGCACCTATGTTCCCTGCAGTCCTGTACCTGTACGTTTCCATTGAGCATTGCACAGCAGCACAGAGAAGGGTGGGTCTGCCAGTGTCACATGGTAGGAAGAAAGTTATTAATTACTTCTGCTCTCAAGTGAAGAAACGCAGGTGTGACGATAATGAGAGGTCTCCTGTATCCCTGCCTGAAAGACGGGGATTAGATACCACAGTAACTTTTGCTGTCTCTGGTTTTGTACGAGATTGTACTTAGCTCCAAGCGTATCTTCAGGGGGAGGGAGGCCCCTGGCTTCAACCACACTCATTCACAGTCTGT